AAAGATTAAAGGGGCCAATATAATTTCATAAGAAAATTAATATTCTTAACCAGTGTTAATAAAATTTTGCATCTGAGATGGATGAATGTTGTATTCATAAAGGAAGAAGTAATTTAGTAAATTTGGAGCTATTATGATCAGCAACTTAAATGTATTTTCTTGATGTTTCTAGGAAATTATAATTTCTATTTATGAAATCCAGTTGTATACAAGATGAAAACAAGTACATTGAGATTTCTGTGTTATGCTTATCTGATAACTACATTTTCCTATGTCAGAAAAATAAAATCCTTGACCACCAGAGAATGTACTTACCTTTACTAGTAGATTTGATTATATCTTGGGTACTGAGGTCTTTTTAGACTAACTGATCACTAAAACCTTACTTGTTTTGCTTTTTTTTCTTAAAGCATTTTCAGGAAACTAATTTGCAAAAATCTTGCTAAAATTAATATAAGTGTATAAGGAAGAAGGTGCTGTGACATGGATGAGTTATTGCAATAGTATCAGGTCATCGCTCACTGATTCTAGTTCCATTTTCCAAAAGCAGTTGCTATGGTAACATTTGGAACTAGAACTGTCAGTGATGCTGTGAAGATGATTATGTGGCCTGTGTCAGAAATAAGAAAGGAAAGCAGCTTTTGGGTGGTTTTGATGTTGTTATCATTGGAAATCAGATTTTTCAGAAACAAATAACTGTTAAAGATAATCATATTATCATTTTAATACCATATAATAATCCCAGGCATTTGGATTAATCCTTCAAAGAGTGAAAGATCTGTGTACCATGTTATAGAGCTTTTACACGAAAGATGCTCCCTTCCTACAAATGCAAAAAATAGGGAGAATCTAGTGTTCACTATAAACCAAATCATATAGGTAAATTTATTAACAAGTTGCATTACTTACATATTTATTTTATTTTTTTTATTTTTATGTGTATGAGTATATAGCCTGCCTATATGTAAGTGCACTCGTGTTGTGCAAAGCCCACAGAGGTCAGAAGAGGGTGTTGAATTCCCTTGGAACTGGAGTTACAGATGGTTCTTAGCCATCATATGAGTGCTGGGAATCAAACCCAGGTCTTCTGGAAGAGCAGCCAGTACTTTTAACTGCCGCACCATCTCTGCAACCCTGCATTACTTACATGTTTAAGCATTTTAATATTTATTTGTTGATATTTAAAATTTTTAATGTTTTTATATTCATTTATTTAAACATCTTACATTTTCATGGTATTTTTTATTTTATTATTTTTATTTTATGTGTGTGAGTGTATTGCCTGCGTGTATGTGAGTGCACCCGTATCATGCAGTGCCGTGGAGGTTAGACGGGGGTTTCAGGTTCCCCTGGAACGGGAGCTAAGGATGGTTTGTAGCTGCCATGTGGGTGCTGGGAATCGAATCCGGGTCCTCTGCAAGAGCAGTCAGTGCTTTTAACCGCTGAGCCATCTCTCCAGACCCTACATTTTCATGGTTTTATAAATGTGGATGTCTGATCTCTGAAAAAGATAGTGCCATTATTTGTTAGGTTTCATAATCAGGCAGACTTGGATTCAGGTCTTTGAACAGTAAATAGATCTTGGCCATGTTACTTAACCCTGCAAGCACTGCAATTTCCTCTGTAAAGGAGAATGGTGTTAGCACCCTTGTCTCACCAAGTTTGAGGATTGCAGGAGATAAGTATGTGGAGCCCAGAGCCCAGTCCTTTGGATATATAGTAACAGCTATGACTTATTTTAATTACTACTTTCATTATTATTATCGTTTTACCTGAAAATTGCCACTGGCTCTGATTTTTTAGGGAGGATTGTTTGTTTTTTGTTTTTCCTGAGGAGGGGAAGTTGTTTGGGGGTGTGTTTGTTGTTTAGTCAACTTGTGAGCTTAAGTGATCCTCTTGCCCCAACCTCAGAGTAGCTGGGAATTCTAGCATGTACCAGTACCCTGGCAACTTCTATTAGAGAAACTTTAAAAAGTTTAACAGTATTTAACAATAAGCTATAAAAGCCCAGTTTGGATGTAAAATTGAAAGAAAAGCTAACATGTGACAGGAAATGAGTGTTTGCAGCTCATTAATTATCAGCCTGAATTTAGATAGGCTCAGGTGGTTAATAAATTTTATGTAAGTACTCAAGGTTTTCTATCATGCAAAACCAGAATTGGTCTTTTCACTTAACTGCTAGATAGTAATCTCAAATGCTGAGCCCTGGACCATTCCTCTGAGAACACCATTTGTCTCATTCAGAAAGAAGAGTCCTAGGGTAAGTATAAATGAGGTGCTTTCATTCATAGATTCTGAGCAGCTAAGGCAATCTGTAATAGAGAGGGTGTGGTGTAGAAGGGAATTAGCACTGTAAAAAGGCAGAAAACTTCCTCTGTTCCGTTTTTCGTGGACCTTGTCTCAGAACCTTGTTCAACATGGATCACTTTTTTCTTCTAGTGACATATCTCAAAAATGAGTTCTTAGTAGCATCTCTCGTACCAGTTTTAAATTCTAAAGTTCCAGGTCAGCATCCTCACTAGCATGCCTCAGTGCTGAATAAGCACAGTGCTTAGAAAAGGCCTCTATTTTAGGTGAAAAGGACATGGTTCATTTTTACTTTGCCAGTATTTCAGAGCTGTCAGTGTTACTCCTACCATACACTTTTCAGTTCTGTTTGGAAAGGAGTTATTTGAGAGACATTTCTATTTACTATTCTTTCTTTTATTGAAAAGTTAAAAGTACTAACTTTACCTCAGCAGCTGGATAAGCCAGGCTGAGACAGATTGAGACTAGAGATTAATACAGATAGATATGGAAAAGGCGGCTTTGTGGCAGATGTCCATAGACTGTATACCAACAGAAACAAGGCAGGATTTCAAGCTGTTTATACTCCAAGGGAGAATTCCTTGACAAACTTTCCAGTCCACTCATAATGTTCAGAAATGACCTTTCTGGTAGTCTGTTGGTTCTAGCTGTTTTGGTGGCTCTGCTCTAAAGGCCAAAACAGAGCTGGACATGGTGGCACGCATCTTTAATCCCAACACTCTGCAGGCAGAGGCAGGTGGATCTCTGAGTTCCAGGCCAGCTGGGGCTACAGGGGGACCCTGTCTCAAAAAACCAAAAAAAAAAAAAAAAAAAAAAAAAACAAAAAAAAAAAAAGTCAAAACAGTAAGAATCTGACCACTTTTACCCTCCCTCACCCAATGAGCCTTTTAAGAAGTTGTATTACTACCATGCAGCAGTTCTCCTTTGCTGTGTTACAAACATGGTAAGAAAGGGGACCACTGAGCCTTCAGAATTTCAGAATTTAATTCTGTTTGATGCTTTCCCAAGTGTGAACAAGCCCTTCAGTGTGCCAATGAGCTAAATAATTTTCTTCTCCAGGGATTTTGAATGAATGCTACATATGAGTAAATTTTTTCTAAGCCGTAGAACCTAAGGTATTGATTTAGAAGGTCACCACAGGGCCACCATATGATTTGCCATACATATCTTATGTGCCACCTGTTGTACAATTAGTGAATCAGCTCAAATGCCCAGTATAGTACATAGCCCATACTACACTGACATTTCTCTAATTACTTTATTTTCAAGGAAAATGGATTTATAAGTGCTTGATTTCATTCAATGCTAAAAGGCATCAGTTTAAAATAAAATGGTCCATTATATAATACTAGAAGAGCCAAGGTACTGTCTATAGAGACATAAATCATGATCAAGAATAACTTTTCCAGTCCAAATGAAAGCCTATTAAAATGTCCATAATATACTCCTAGATATGATTCAGAAATACTTGTAAGGAATGTTTTACTAAGGAAATTAAACTTAATTCACAGAGTCATCTAAAACTATTCATTATCCTTATCATATTAGTCAGTAGTCATCATGTGCCCAAGTACCTGGTAGATTTCCTGACCTAGGCTAGGAAACTATCAGAGAATGTAGAATTGTTTCCTAGTACAAATGCCCTGTATTGCACACTGGGTGATATTTTGTTTGACAGGATGTCCTGAATCTAGGACTTGTCTTAAGCTGTGACAACAGCATCATTGCACCCCTAGTCAGTCTAGGAACGTCCTTGCATGCTGAGGTAGAATTTCAATAGAGCTACCTTTTGTGTCTGTATATGTGTTAGTGGCAGCTTTGTGCAATCAGGGGAGAATTTAATCCATGAGCTAAATAGTCTTAACATTAAATGGTCAGTCTTCTACTCTCCTGAAGCTTTTGAATTTTAAAAAGATCTAAAGGCACAAAATAATTTTTATGCATGTGGAGAAGCTATTACATGTATATGTGAAAGCTAGAGGCCAACCTCAGGTGTCATCCTCGGGGACACTGTCCACTTCCTTTAAGACACTGTCCACTTCAGAACTGGAGAGATGGCTCAGCAATTAAGAGCACTGGCTGCTCTTGCAGACCTGGGTTGATTCCCAGCATTCACCTGGCAGCTAACAACTGCCTATAACACCAGCTCTGGGGAAACCCAATGCCCTCTTCTGGCCTCTATGGACATTGCATGCATGGAAGAAAGACAGGGTCTCTCATTGGCCAGGAGATCACTGATTAGACTAGGCTGACTAGCCTTTGAGCCCCAAGGATTATATATGCACCCCATGCCCATTTTTATGTAGATTCTGGGGACTGAATTGAAGTCCTCATGCTTGTAAGGCAAGTAAATGTTCTACCAACTGATCTGTCCTCCCAGCCCATAATTTTTTGTATAGAAGTATGATTTTTTTTTTTTTTTTAGATAAGCTCTCCTTTTAGCCTCAGCTGGCCTGGAACTTGCTGTATAGACCAGGCTGGCCTCAATCTCACAGAGATCCACCTACCCTTGCCTCCTCACTGCTGAGATTAAAAGCCTGTGCTACCACACCCAGTTTATGTGCTCCATTTTAGTTCTCATTTATTTCATTGTACCTGGATTTCTGATCAGTAATTACCAAGTCCTGATTCCTTTTGGGAATAACTTCCCCTTTCAACAGAGCTAGAGAATCTTCTAAAATAGCTAAAAGCCTGATAATAGTCCTGTTAGTCAACACTGAACAGTGAGATATCAGATCACTGAGATACTATCAGTATCAGTGAGGTCAATGGCCCTTAGCTAGGAAAAGTAGGATCATTATATGAAAAGAGACACGGGATGCAGGTATGGGCAGAAGCAGCCTAGTAGTAGCAGGAGGAGCCTATAAAGGAGGCAAGGATGCTGAGTAAGATAAGTTACAGACCTCCCCAAAAGCAGAGCATCCCAAGCAAAAGCAGGCGGTGCTTGGTGGGAATTGACGACTGCTGGGCAAAGCTGGAGGAAAGAAGCTTTGACTGTGACCAGTTCTCTTGTGCTTAAAAAAGGTAAAAGACCTTTTCCAGGCATGGGCCAACACCAAGCTTTACCAGGACTGCTCTGAGTGCCCTTTAGAGTGGAGTGACATGCTCTGTGGTGCTTTACCTCAAGGGCCCTAACAGCAGGGCCCCTGCCTGCCCAAAGAAAAGCCTGCTGATGTCATACTCTTTTGGAAGGTTGCCCTTCTTTAGGTAATCCCTTTCTGGGATTACTACTCTTGTCCCTATCTACTTCCCTGACAGCTCTTGGCCCCTTTCCTTCCTTAACTTTTAGCTCTGGTTGGGTTGTTGCTATTTGGTTCCTTTTTTTTTTTTTTTTTTTTTTTCCGGAATGGTCAATGTTCTTATAAATTTTTTAGGTCAATAAAGTCAGTGACTTTAAAAAAAAATGAAACAAGATTTCTAGCAAGTAGAAAACAGCAGTAAGACTCATCTATAGCTATAACTACATAGAAAGTCTCTGTGCATGTGGTCAAAGTGGGGGGTGATTTGGAAATAGTTGCATTTGGACAAGATAATGATGTGTAGTGCTTTTTTTGCTGTATTTTTAAAGCATTTTCTTCTATGTTAATATATTGAACTTTTAAATGGTGATAATGATAGATCCATCACTAGTACATATCTTAAATAATTGAAAAACTTGGGGGTTCTTTCCCATAGTTATTCCTCATAAAATTGGCCGAGTCATAGAAGGCAGTCCAGCTGATCGTTGTGGAAAACTGAAAGTTGGAGATCACATCTCTGCAGTGAATGGGCAGTCCATTGTTGAACTGTCCCATGATAATATTGTTCAGCTGATCAAAGATGCTGGGGTCACAGTCACACTGACAGTCATTGCTGAAGAAGGTAAGGAAGTGGGAAACCTGCCTTCCCTAAGCTCATATGATAGATTCAGATCGCTGTGAGAGAGCCATTTATATGCCCTGTAGTTGCGTTCTTTACCTTTTCCATTTAATGAACTTAAAAAAAGACAGTTTATTATAAAATTGTTAGCCATTCAAGAAAAGTAATCCAGCTAGTGAGTGGTGGCCATTTATTTATGTGCTGGAGAAGCAAGTACCTAGAAGTGAATATTGGTAATACCTTTCAGATCTTATTTTCTTAAATTAATGTCTTAGGTCTCTACTTAAGTGAGACCCTTTAAACAATAAGTCAAAGGAAGTTGTTGTTGATACCAGATTTTTTTATGTCAGATCCATGCCACAGTATGCCCTTTCCTTGGGGGCAGAACTTTGTTCTGGGCAGCTGCTGTATGAACAGGGAGTGGGTGGGTGTGTAGGAATGACTCTTTTTTAAAAAAATATTATTTTTATTTTAAGTGGATGTGTGTATTGTATGCATGTATGTATTGTATGCATGGACCCATGTCGTGCAGTGCCCGTCAAGGACAGAAGGTGGCTTCAGATCCCTTGGAACTGCAATTACCAACAGTTGTTAGCTGCCATGTGGATGCTGGGATTCAAACCCAGGTCTTCTGCAAGAACAACTAGTGTTCTTAACCACTGAGCCATCTCTCCAGCCCCAGGAATGACTCTTAAATAGGGCTAGAACTCATACTGGCAGCCATGGAAGAGTTTCTAATCTTGCTTTAAAGCTTCCTGCAACCATTAACAACTTCTAATTAAGATGCCTGAAGAGTTGGCCAAGTAAAGAGCACTGGCTGCTCTTGTAGAGAACCAAGGTTGATTCCCAGCACCTACATGGCAGCTAACAGCCATCTGTAACTCCAGTTCCAGGGGAATCCAACACCCTCTTCTGGCCTCTGTGGGCATTGCATGCATATGGTACACATATTAATACAGGCAAAACATTAATACACACAAAATATAAGTAAATACATAAAATTTTAAAATTTTAAAGTAATTTCTAATTAGGAACAATTTTTAAGCAGTCCAGGTTCTTTGTTTATGGTTTATGAATTACTAAGTAACCACTATGTAATGCTTATCATATTTGTCCTGAATTTGTAGAGATAATGCAAAGGGGGGGGAAAAAGCAGAATTATGAAGGTTCAGTCTTTCATGTAAAATTTTCTTGGGAATGTGGCCCAGTGGTACAGTGCATGGGTAACATGACCAAGTCCTGAGGGAGGGCGGAGAGGGAAAGAGAGGGAGAGAGAAAGAATTAACATTCTTCATCCTCTGTTGATTATTCATGTTCTAGTTTTCTTCTGTATGTCCCTAAGGTCAATTTCCTGAAGTTTTATAAATTTTTCCTCTGAGACTTCATCTTGCTATGTTGTCCAGGCTGGTCTCCATCTCCTGATTGCAGGTGATCCTCCTGCCTCTTCCTCCCAAGTGCTAGTACTACAGGCATGCCACCTCACCCAGCTGTATTTCTCAGTAGTGTCTTTCTAGCTGCTACTGTCCTACTCCCATATTTTATGAATTATGTAAATCTTTTCAAGGTACTGTAGTGGATATTTCTTCATGAGCATGCAAACTCTTCCTCAACATTGATTTGGGGACTAAAGAGCTGGCTTAGGGGTTAAAAGCACTAAGTACTCTTATACAAGACATGGGTTTGGTCCCCAGCACCCACATTGGGGCTAACACCCATCCTTAACTATGGTTCCAGGGGATCTGGCACTCTTTTCTGCCCTCCCTGGGCACCAGGGCACATGCGTGATATACTTACATATTTGCAGGCAAAACATTCATGCATGTAAAATACTATTTTTTTTTAAATCCTTAAAAAAAAGTCTGTGCCATGGCACTTCAGGGTTGAGGCATTTATATCCTCATGACTGGCCTGCAGTGGGCACTAAGCATAGGACTAGCAGTCTATAGAAAATGACCAGTGGGTTCTTCCAAGTTCATCTCAGACCAGTATTTTTGTAAAAATACAATAAAAATTAAAATACATAAAAATTATTCTTTCAAACTGTAAGATTTTTCTGACTGCTTTCTCAGTGTCCTTACATGTTTTTTTGCTGACACAGAAACCCTACTTGGAGTACCCTTGGGGTAGTTCGGTAGGAGAACCGCCATTTCTTTCTCTTAGTATGTTGTTTTTCAAAGTTGTCACTGATTATTGATTTTTTTTTTCTAAGAGGTTATCAAGAATTGTTCATTTTTCTTAGAGTAAAAGTTACCTTTGGCATTTAAACCTAAGTACTTCTGGTCAGATACTTGAGAGTTCTAGATGATGTCAGGCACTGTTGAAAAGTGGAAGAGTGGAAGAAAACTCCTTAGCACATATATACTTAAAATATATTTCATATGTAGGCATATCATCCTATGGTACAGCCTTATTCAGTGATTATATATTATTTTATATACTCTAGGATTTTTATTAAACTATGGAAACATTCAGAATCCCTCATTTTCCTAGGGGAAAAAATAGTCTCCTTTCTAACCCTAAAAATCTCATTCTTGTTAGTCTTCCAACCTTCCCATTGAATTCAGTATAAAACTTACCAGCTGCACTGCGGTTAAGTGAATACTTGTATCTTGAAGTTGTTTGCAGAAACATGTTCAGGTCACACTTCCAAGTTATATTGCCCCTCCCCTGCTCATCTCAAGCCCTTCGCTGGGAGTAGAAAAAGATAGAGACCTGGAGGAGCAGCTGTCTTTCCTCCATTGTCTCTTCCTCCATTGCTAGGTACTGTTTAATATCTAAGTCTGCTTTGCCAAGGAACTGGTAAGGTGTGTGCCATGTCTCATATAAAAATTCTCATGCTATAGTCATTCTTGGACCTTTCTCTACCCCCTCCAATGCCTCCAGCATTTCTGCCTCTACCACAGTAACTTGTTCTAAAGGATGGGACAGGAATTGACTGTGCTTGGTAGTTTCTGCTTGCTTGCTTAGTTTCTGTTTTTAAATTTATTTAATGTGTATGAGTGTATTGCTTGAATGTAGGTAGGTGCACTTGTGTCGTGCAGTGCCCACAGAGGTCAGAAGAGGGCATCAGATCCCCTGAAACCGGAGTTATGGATAGTTATTAGCCGCCATGTGGGTGCTGGGAGTAGAACCTGAGTCTTCTGCAAGAGCAGTCAGTGCTCTTAACCATTGAGCCATCTCTCTAGCCCTGCATCATTCTTTTTTATGAGTAATAAGTGTTTTATTGCATATACATCATATGACTTACCTATTAGTCATTTTGTAGACATTTAAGTCGTTTCTACTTTTTGCTATGAGTGATGTTGCTGTGAACATTAAAGTACAGTTTTCTTGCAAATGTGTGACTTCATTTTTCTTGAATATAAACCTAGGAGTAGAGTTGTTGAATCATGTGGTATTTGACTTTTTGAAGACATGCCAAATTGTTTCTGTAGCATCTGTACCATCTTATATTCTCAACAACAATATAGGAGGCTTCCCATTTTTTCTTATCCTCCCCAGCATTTATTTTCTGGTTTGTGGGACTTTATTTTTCATTCAAGCCATTCTAAATAGGTGTGAAGTAGTATTTCATTGTGGTTTGACTTTGCAATTCACTGATGACTAGTGTTAAGTATCTCTTCGTCTGTTTATTGGCCATTCTTCTTTGGAGAAATGTCTGTTCAAATCCTTTGCCTGTTTATAACTTGGTTATTTTTTACTGCTGAATTGTAAAATCTCTTTACTTACTCTGAATGCTAGTTTTTCAGGTATATGACTTTCAAGTATTCACCTCCCATCTTGCACTTGTCCCTTTGTACAATCATTTTAATATTGATGAAGACTGGCTCATTTATATTCTCTTTGCTGGCTTGAGCTTTGTTCTCCTAGTATCATGTGCTTTTTAGGCTAACCCACATTGCTTCTTAATAGTTTCCCATAATATATATTTAGTATTTCTTACCTACCCACTTCCCCATTGATGGCCACATTGTCCCCATTTCCACGTGTCATGATCCTGTGATATAATACTCCATTTAGGTCTTTAATCCATCTGGCACCTTTCTTTGGACATAGTCACTGGAGGAATTCAGTTTTACTTTTTTTTAAAATTTTTATTTTATGTGTATGAGTGTAAAGTCTGCATATAGGTAGGTACACCTGTGTTATACAATGCCCATGGAGGTTAGAAGATGGTGTCAGATTCTGTGGAACTGTGGAGTACGGATGGTTGTTAGCTATCATGTGGGTGCTGGGAACTGAACCCGGGTCCTCTGCAAAAGCATTCAGTGTTCTTAACTGCTGAGCCATCTCTCCAGCCTCTAGCCTGCATATCTTATCTTGACCTCTAAACATAAGTCTCCACCTCTTTTTTATTCTTTAACTTTGTTCGTGGGTTGAAGGCGTGTGTGTGCACACTTGCATATAATTATATGTGAATTTGTTGTCCTGTATCTCTGTACTTGAGGACAAAGCAATCTCTCTTCCCAAAGCCAACTAGATACTCACAGGACAGTCCCATGTAAAATCTTTGAACAAATAAGATCCTCAAAATATGCACTGGAGAGATGATGGCTCAGTGGTTAAGAGCACTGACTGCTCTTGCAGAGGACCCGGGTTCAATTCCCAGCACCCACATGGCAGCTACGAACCATCCTTAACTCTAGTTCTAGGGGAATCTGAAGCCCTCTTCTGACCGTGGCATCACATGACACAGTGTACTCATAATCAGGCAATACACTCATACTCATAAAGTAAAAATAATAAATAAAATATTTTTAAAAAGGATCCTCAAAAAATACAATTTTATTACATATTTTGAAAAATATACCTGCTAACTTTGGGTTAATTTAGATGTTTAAATATTAAGTTATCCTACCTAAGAGTGGGATATCTTCAGTTTTTCAGATCATCTTTTTTAACCTTTTCAGAGTTTTTCAGTCTGAGAAAGTTATAAGGTTCTTAGTAACTCTTGGTAAAGAAAAGTCTTAATCCATGTTTGCTGCTGTAGTTTAACTGCATTTTGTGTTCAGCTTCTGACAGTATACCTTTTCTTTGATATTTACACATAGAAACTTTTACAAAAACTAATACTTCTTGAAGGGAAAAGTATACTTAATCTGTCACTGTAGTATTAGGAAAATTTTCAGATAAAATTCAAAGAAAATATAGGTGTATTTGACATAGTGGAATAAATATTTAACTTTGAGACATAGAATAGCTTCTAAACTCGGGAAAAAATTGGAGAAGCCACGTGGCATACATAGTTCAGTTGAAAGGCTAAAAATGAAAAGATACCAATGATAGGTTTTACTTAACCTTGAAAAAGGCATCATGAAGTAATTTAGAAAGTGAGCACCAGGGCTGGCGATACAGATCAGTGGTAGAACACTTGCCTAAAGGCCCTAGGTTTAACCACAATACTACCATTCAAAACATAAAGTTACCCTGTGGTATCTGTCTAGACAAGTTGTCTTGTGTTCATCTACCTCCTCTGGCTCTTACAGTCAGTCCTTTTGCCCCTTCTTCTGCAATGATCTTGGAGTCTTGGGAGGAGAGAGTGTGATATAGGTGTTCCATTTTTAGGGCTGAGCACTCTGCAGTCTCTTACTCTCTGCATGTTGACCAGTTGTGGGTCTCTGTGTTAATCAACATCTGCTACAAGAAGAACCTTATCTGGTGAGAGTTGAGAGAAGCATTAATCTATGGGTATAACAATAAGTCATTAGGGGTCAGTTTAATACTATGTCTGTTTAGCAGAATGATAATATTAGGTTCCCCTATGGCCTATGACATGTGTAGCCACAGGCTCTTGGCCCTGATAACAGAATCAGGTATGAACTCCATCTTGTGAGGCAGGCCTTAAATCCAATTAGAAGGTAGTTGGTTACTCCCATAACAGTCTTGCTACTTTACACAAGTGGGCATATTTTGCCAAGCCAGTTGTTCTCGTAGCTCACAGGGTTCACAAGTGGGTAAGATTGATGATTACCTTTTATTGCCAGTAACATGTGTAGTACTTTCTAGTACTATGAAAACTTGGCAGCAGAGACAAAGCTTCAATGTCAGTACCAGCTTGATTGTTCGTTTTTTGTTCTGTGACTCAGCTATACTATGTCTTAAGCAAAAGGGTCTTCCCAAGCTCTGATAACCAAGTGAAATGACAGTAGCCAGTACTGTTTGAAGGCCTATGGGATCTCTTTGGCCAACAATTCTTAGCACTGGGCTTTACATTTGCTAGCCTATGGTGTCTATTAGGGCTACTAAACCCATTATAGGGTTTAGGATAACGCACAACACTTAGACAGCATGTGCAAGACCTGTGCAAATCCAGATAGGGGCCCACCATAGATGGGGGAGTAGGCAGGAACCCCTGCCCTAATTGCGGATCTATGAGGAATTGGTAGATGCTGGGAGAGGGCCAGTTTTCCTTACTGGTGTGATACTTTGTAGGTTGACCAGACACCAAAGGATAGACTCATACCCAAGAACATTTAGAAAACACAGATTAGACTTGACAGCCCTTTGAGGGAAAAAAAGACAAATAATAATAAAGGACATGAAGTGGAGAAGGGTTAGTAGGGTGGGAGTGGAGAGAAATCTGAATATGATCAAAATACATTGTGTGAAATCCTCAGATCAATAAATATTTTTTGGTCTTTTTTTGTTGTTTTGTTTTTGTTTTGTTTGTTTTTTTGTTTTTTGAGACAGGGCCTCCCTGCAGCCCCAGCTGTCCTGGAACTCACTATGTAGACCAGGCTGGCCTTGAACTCACAGAGATCCACCTGCCCCTGCCTCCCGAGTGCTGGGATTAAAGGTGTGCGCCACCACACCCGGCAATAAAAAATATTTTTAAAATCCCACCAACTTGTGGTACATTCTGCCTAAAAGTAATATCTCTTATCCTAAGAGGAAAACTTGAAAATGATCAGCTGCTCTGACATTACATACTCACTACTCTAATGAAACTAGGAAAGCCAAAAACTTACTTATGTTGGACTCATACAAAGATATAAATATCTCCCTATCATCTTGCTGCTAGATATAATTTTCCCATCAGTTTTCATCCCCTGAAAAGTAACCGTGAATTTATAATGACAAGACAGTTGAACCCTATAATGGGCTTTCCAGTTTAGAGACAGGTAACCTGAAATTGACATACCCAGTAAGTAAAAGTAGGACTAAATTGTATTTGTTTAAAAATGGATAATAAATGAAGAGGGGTTCAGTGGAAAGTGGGGGAAAAAAAAGTAGGACTGACTGAAAATTCCAGTGGAAACAGGAATACAAAGATAAGAGGTATGATTTCTGTAACTAAGTAAGTTGAAATGTAGCGGAGAAATACGTGTTCATCCAGCTCACACAGTATGACCAATATTGTGAAAATGTGATCACACTGTGCTTAAGGAGCTAGGAAGCATCTCAACAGAGGAAGTGTAACATTTTGAACAGGAGGTGAAGCAGGAAGGCAGGTGATAAATTTGGAGAGCGTCTTATACAAGACAAAAAAATCACCATAATCAGGACTGGAGAGGGTGGCTCAGTAGTTAAGAACACTTGCTGTTCTTACAGAGGACCCAGGTTCAATTTCCAGCACCATATGGTAGCTAACAACCTAACGACTGTCAGTAAATCCAGTTCCAGGGGAATCAGACACTCTCTTCTGGCCTCTGCAGCCATTGCATGCACATGGTGCACTTATATATGTGCCAGCAAAAACTCATACACATAAAAATAATTTTTTAAAAAAATCATTGTTTCTAGTTCGCCTCTCCATTGCTGTGACAAAACACACTGACCAGTACCAACTTGGGAAGGAAAGCATTTATTTGTCTTACATCTCCCAGGTCATAGTTCATCAGGGAGCCCAACATAAGAACTCGGGGCAGGAACCTGGAGGCAGGGACTAGAGCACAGGCCATGGAGGAATGCTGCTTACAGGCTTGCTCCGCTGGCCCCTGCTCAGCTTGCTTTCTTATGCGACACAGGCCCCACCTACCCAGGGATGGCACCACCCGCAGTGGGCTGAGCCCTCCCACATCAGTCAACAATCAAGAAGATGCTTCACAGACATGGCCACAGACCAGTTCTTTGGAGACAATTCCCCAGCTGAGGCTCCCTTAACTCAGATGTGTCAAGTTGACACTAAAGCTATCCAGCACAACCATAATCCTTTAAGCAAGAGACAGTTGACCTGTTTCAGTCTTTATGTTAAAACTAAAGGCCTGGAGCTGGGTATGATGGCCCACACCTTTAATCCCAGCGCTCGGGAAGCAGAGGCAGGTGGATCTCTGTGAGTTCAAGGCCAGCCTGGCCTACATAGCAAGTACCAGGCCAACTGGGGCTACAGGGAGACCCTGTCTCAAAAAGACAAAAAAAAATTTTTTAATAAAAATAAAAAATAAATAAAATATACCAAATGGGTGACAAGAAATCCAGTCAGAAGGTTCAAGACCTCTTAAGCCAATAGGAAATTTTATGACTGCAACACTATAAAAGAAGAACAGATTTCTAGACCACCAAAAACAAATAAGGTTAATACCTTACTCCACTCCATTTCCCCTCCTGGTATATTTGTCTTTGAAGAGGAAATATGGCTTTGCATAAGGGCTGGTCCAAGAGTTGGTCCCATATCCCTATATTTAGTGTAAATAGTTCCTGGAGCTCTGTCTTCTACATAAATATGATTGAATATGTGTATTTCTGATTTCCATGTTATGGATGACCAAGACAAGGGTAACAGTGGGAAATAAGAAATGACTCCTGTTTTCTTAAAACATGAACACTCAAAAGCCAAAGAGAGATGTTAAATGTTCTAATTCCAAGCAAGTGACAGCAGTGCTGTCCAGTAAAAGACCTAAAGCTAGAAAGCTGTATCTATTTGCTATTGTTTTTACTCTTATAGATCCACTTAATCTTTGTTTTCATGTACATGTCCTTATCTCTGTTGTTTTCTCATTTGAACAGAGCAACATGGTCCACCATCAGGAACAAACTCAGCCAGGCAAAGCCCAGCACTGCAGCATAAGCCCATGGGACAGTCACAGGCTAACCATATACCTGGAGACAGGTACAGATGTTCTTCTCAGATTTGGGTTTTTTGTCACCTCTCTGCTCATCAGTATCCTGCTCTCAGGGCAGTAAATTCAGAAGCCAAATATCTAAGTCAAATGAAAACAGCTGCATATTTCATCCTCACAGTCCTTCCCAATGCTCCCATCCCTCCAGACCATCACACTTCCCAGCTTCCATCCCAGACACTTCATAATCACCCGTTCAGCCCGACAGTAGCATTTGGCTCTGTGTCTCTTTGTCTTCCTCATTTTTGTAGGGAAGCTTCAGCTCCCGGTGAATCACAGTCTTCTAAGGTTGTGCAGAATTGGGCAGGGCAGTATATTGTACATATTTCCTCTATTGCTGAAAATATTAGTCATAAAGCAAAAACTAGATTTCCAGACATTTAGCATCTTCCTGGGCTTTTGGACTTAAGGAGGGCCATTTCTCAATGTGACAGGGTCACCTTATCTAACCTGATTCAGTTATTCTGAGTACAGCTTTCTTTGAGAGCAACTCCATCAGGACACCATTGAAGAAAAAAAAGGGGATTGTTCACAGACTTTAAGCTGCCCTGAAGTGAATGAACAGGCATTTTCCTAGCAACTCTGGTTCTAGAGATAGTCTGTCTTCATAGCAGTTTGTCAGGATGGAGAATAGCAAGGCTCAGCTTTGAAAGCGAAATTAATCTGCTTTTCATTTCCGTGTGCAGAAAATAATTTCTCTCTCTCATAGAGCTACCCTAGAAGGTGAAATTGGGAAAGATATCTCCACTTCTTACAGACATTCCTGGTCTGACCACAAGCAGCTTGCACAGCCTGACACTGCAGTAATTTCAGTTGTGGGTAGTCGGCACAATCAGGTAAGCCTGGATATCCAGATGCTGATGTTTGAGTTACTGTTACCACTAACATTAGTATTTTTATTGCAAATTCATTCAGATAATTAGTAATTCTTGTATAACTACTAATGCACTTTGCATTTACTTAGCTTCCAACAAGATCTCAAAAATGAAAGGAAAGTTACCTGATAGAGGGGAAAAATTTGAACCTTGTTTAGAAATGAATAGTATTGTAGCTATTCAAAGGAGGCTTTTGTTTGCTTGTTTTTCAAGAAAATTTGTAAAAAAAGAAAAATCTTAAAGTAAGCACTTTTATAAAACTCTGTTCTCTGATTGTTGTATTACACATTGAACAACTAGCAGACACATAATCTTCAGATGAATTTAATTTGTATTTATAAAACCTAGGAAGCTCTTCAGCCAAGACTCATATTCTTTCCTCAAAATATAGACTGCACATTAAGAATATAAACATCATTTTTCTCAGCCATAAAATCAGTCTTTCTTCAAGACACAACTAAAGGGGTGCATGGGAAATTACTCTGTCGTGTTTTTTCTCCTCTAGTGCCTTGGGTGCTACCCAGTAGAACTGGAGAGAGGCCCTCGGGGCTTTGGGTTCAGTCTCCGAGGGGGGAAGGAGTACAACATGGGACTCTTTATCCTTCGCCTTGCTGAGGATGGCCCTGCCATCAAAGATGGCAGAATTCACGTGAGTTAGCTTCTGTTTGCAACCTTTGCTTCTGACTCCAGACTGAAAACTTGTAAAAATAACTGATTTAGAGGGAATGCAGAAACTTCCTACATCTAGGCACAAGGTTTCCCTGAGAACTGCGCTTGTGCTTTTCTAGCCACCAGGGTTCTGTGCTTTGTGCTCTCCTTTTGTACAATGCCATGTTCAGTTATAAGGCATTGCTCTGGTATTCTTAGCTTTTGTACCTGAGAAAAATTAGTTTTTAGTTGTAGAGTCAACATACAAAGCAGACTGATTCATAAAATACACTCTCTTATTAAAAGTCTTGAAGAAGGCAGGATAAAACAGAATCTCCAATTCCTTCCAAGACATAATAAGCTCCAGAGTTTTGTCCACCTAGCTGTCAACCTTTATGATTATTAGAAGGACTAGAACTCATATCTGTAATATTCCATCACAGACATTCTCAATCCTGAAATATACCAGCATTATATAGGGCACTGCAGACTAAATGGCTTATAGATCTGCATTTTCCCCTCTACCTCTGAAAGTTAATGAAAGAGGAATCTTACAAGGCATTTTCTGGCCTAAAATTTTAAGTTCCAGACAGCCTCCCTCTTCCTATCCAAGAGAACTTTAGATTTCCTTCTTCTGTCATCATTAAGCATCAGGGAAAGAGAACTTTAAAACAAAACAAAAATCTTTTAAAAGCAGGAATGTGGCAAATTGGTCTAATAACACCTGGGGGAGTGGGGGGCAGGGGTGCTGGGATATAGCTAAATTGGTAGTATGCTTGCTTAACATGCACAAAGCACTGCCCCATATGAAAATTGTGAGTGGTAGTATATACCTGTAATTTCAGCATTCAGGCGGTAGAGACAAGAGGATCACAAGTTCAGGATCATTCTTGGCTACATAACAAGTTCGACACCAGCATGTACTACACAGCATCCTGTCTTTTTTTTTTTTTTTTTTAAGTTTCTAGTGATTACAGCTTTGTATTTTCCACATCACTATTTTATACCCATCACTAGTTTCATAACAGATTTTATGTATTTGCCTTAATCAAAGCTTTTCGCCTGGTGCTGAGTGAGGTGGTAAAAGGGGTGACCCAAAGGAAGTAAGAGACCAGTCTTTCCTCATAATGACCAAGCTCAGTGATTAGAGAAGTTGAGTACAATTTCAGGACAGAGGGACTGAGAGAAGCACTCCAGGCTGAAGAAGTGAGAAGAAGGAAGGGTAACCCACATATAGGTAATGTCACATGGTTGAGTTTATTTAGAAAGTGTCTAGAGGAGTAGAGAGAAACGAAATTTTGAAAGGAGGATGAGTTAGCAGTCTGGAGGTGCTAGACAGTAGAAAGCCACTGGTGGCCTTTGGGCGAAGCATTTTCCTCAGAGCAGCATGCTGCTAAGATGTGTACTAGTGGTGTGCAGAAGGATGGAGGAGACAGAGATCGCTCTCACTCAGGTACAGAGTGGGAAGGGAGTGCTGGGAGTGGAGCTTGAATGCTAACCCTTTGTATGAGAGAGACAAGAGCACATGGGGTCACCTTCCAGTGAAGGAATGACCAACCGAGATAACTGGTATCTGTTCAGTGTGTAAGGCATAAAGGGAAAGAAAGGGCAAAGAATGACTTAGGGACCTTGCTCTGCCTCTGTTACAAAAAAACAGTAGAAGCTGAGGCAAGAATTTTCAAGTCAGTTGGCGTCATGTTGAAGTGGAACTATGCAGGTAAAAGTTTCTGGCAGACTTAGATGGGAAAGCCACCTGTCTTACCTAGTCTTGTAATCAAAGTTAGTCTTATGCTTTGAGATCATTTAACACTATTCAGTCTCCCTCTCTACTTATTTAGATCTAGCTAACCTTTAGGAAAACAATGTAAACAATCTTACTCAGCCTTGGGCCCTTCTTGTAAGCTAAACACATAGCTTTAATCTTAAACTGTGTTCTCTATTTTTCCCTTACGACCCTTCCTTGTCCCGAATAATGTACATGTGTGTATGTTGTGAAAATATTGCTAAAGGCAGCAACACCAAAAGCAGCAAATTATCCACAGTATATTTTGCAAAACAACTTGTAGACTTAGTTTGATAACATCTTTTTGTGATTTTTGTATACTGTTCTGGGTCAGTAGAGGATCAGAAAAGGAAAATTCTTCCCTAATAAGACAAAGTTCCTCATTTCTTTCCCATGCCATGCTGGGTATATTGTTTAAATAGAGTACACCTTTGTACTCCATTAGAGTACACCTGTTGGAGGAACGGTTCTGAGCACACGGATCAGCCTCGCTCTTGGTTTAAACAACTCTCGAGAGTTTAGTATTTCTTGAATCAGGCACCTCGGCATTGTAGCATCCACCACAGATAGTGACATAACCTAGACAGGTGATAAGTGAAGCCTTTGTGGTAGATTCAGTGACTTAAATAGATTTAGAGAACTTCAGGCCCCGGTCAGAACTCTTGAGTAGGAGCTATAACTAGGGGACCAGAAAAGGTGAAGAAAACAAGAGAATTGGGAATGCAAAGCCATAGAACCAGAACAAGAGTGTTTATGACAAGAGAGTTTATGCCCTTTGTAATAGGTAATCAAGAGCTGCTACGTCACCAGGCGTAGTGGCACACACCTTGAATCCCAGCACCCTGAAGCCAGAAGCAGATCACTATGAGAGCCTGGGATGGTTTACGTAGTGGGTTCTAGACCAGCTGGGGCTACATAGTGAGACTCTGTGTCAACCCTTACCCTTACCCTTACCCCACCCCCCACGCCCGCAAAATAAAAGCTCCTAGGCCTAGCCTGTTTGCCTTTGCATAGTTTAAGAGCATGAAGAGAGCTTGGGTTTGAGAATTGATTAAGATAAGACTCAAACCCTCATGCTACTGCCTTGTAGCTATGGAACCTTAAGCAGCTTCTCAGAGCCAGTTTAGGATCCAGTGTGCTATCCTTTGTAGCTTTCTTGGTCTTCTTCTCACCCTCTCCTTTTTCTGTTGTGGTATTTCACTTTTTTTTTTTTCTTTAAATCTCCCATGGCATATAGTGACAGAAAAAGTCAATTAAATGACAAATCTGGGTATATTTTTGAAATGTTTGTTCTAAATACAACCCTCAGATCTACTAATTTCATCATAAAAATAAAAGCCAAACAGGCCTTAAACCAGGCAGTGTGTCATTCTGAAATATATCATTCTTTACAAATGAGCAGAAACTTCAAATTCCCATGACTAAACTTTTATTTTAAAAAAAACTCTAGGCAAGACATGGTGGTGTACACCTTTAATCCCAGCAGAAGTAGGCAAATCTCTGTGAGTTCAAGGCTAGCCTGGTCTTCATAGCAAATTCTAGGCCAAGCCAGTACTACATAGTGAAACCCTGTCTAAAAAACTAAAGTAAGTAAATGAACTCTAAATTTTGAAACCAAAAGTAGGCTATTAATGTTAGGCCCAGATATGTTCTGAATGCTAAGAAACTATGTAGGCACTCAGAGTTTTCTTCAGCTAATATTCTCCATGGTGCCATGGAAGTCCCCCCTCCCCGGCTTCCTTCTTCCCTTGCTGGTCTCAGATTGGCAACTGAACTTTCCATTCTGTACCTTTTTATTCCAGTATCTTCAGCACCCATATAGTCCCTTTAATACTCATAGAAGGCAATCCATAGATGTTTTCAAAAATAGATGCTCTAGATGCATTTTTTTAAATTAAGATTAGTATTTCATAGATGTTTTGTCAAGAGGATAAAATATTGAAGTTCTTTAAAAATTAAGATTAGTTTCCAACACATTACTGAGTAGATAGGACTAGGGATATATGATATAATTAGTAATAATTATTAGCAATAATTACTAGCATAATTCAGAAAACAAGAAAATGTTAATAGGTGGAAAGGTTCTCAGTGCCAAGAGAAGATCTGTAAATTTCACAAGTCTGAAACTGGTCCTTAAGTTATGATTCAGGGCCTGGGGTATGGTTCCTTTGTAGAGTGTTTGCCTAGCATACATGAGGCCCAGGTTTCCATCCTAGCACTGCAAGAAAAAAGTCAGATTCAGAAAATACTAAGTGTCTGTCTTCCAGGCAACATGTACTTTCAGTTATATTGCTATTAGTCTCTGAGAGGGAGGTGACAGTGTCTACACTTAGTCTTAGCTGAGTCCTGGGAGGCCAAGATCCTTGCTGAGATCACCTGGCCTGTCAGGCTTTGGCCATGTCCATTTGGGCTGGATTTCCTTGGGAGGCATATCATTTCTTTTTTCTTTTTTAATTTGTTTATTTTTATGTGTATGAGTGTTTTGCCTGCATGTGTGTAAGTGTACTAATGTTGTACAATGCCTGTGGAGGCCAGAAAAGGGCATCAGAACCTGGAAATGGAATTACAGCAGGTTGTTAGCTGCCATGTGGGTGTTGACATTTCTGCCTAGGCCCTCTATAAGAATAGCCAGTGTTCTTAACCACAGGGCCATCTCTCCATCCCTGGAGGCATATCATTTCTTAACAGGTTGTAAGATAATGTAAGGCACATGTTATTTTGCAAGACTGCCTAAAAAGATAGCAACATTTTTTGAGACAGAGTCTCACTCTATAACCCTGGCTAACCTGGAACTTGCTTTGTAGACCAGCCTGGCCTGGAACTCACAGAGTTTTGCCTGCCTTTGCCTCCCTGAGTGCTGGAATTAAAGGCTAAAGATGTGAACCAGCACATCTGGTGATAGCAACATTTTTTTAAAAGAGCAACATTCCTTTATCCTTTTGTCTTTTCCTTTTTAAAAATGTTATTTTGCGATAAGGCCTGACGGTTTTGCTCAGGGTGGCCTCGAATTAAGCACATCTTCCTGCCTCAGCCTCCCAAGAACTAAGCCTACAAACATCTTTTCTTCTTTTGATTCTCTTCTTTCTCTTCCTTTCACTTCTCTATTCATCCCCCCTCCTCTTTACCTCATAATTTTTCAGTAGTGTACAACTAAAGTTTAATTTCGTTCAGGATTTCAAGATTTTTTTTTCATAGTAACTTAAAATTTCATCAAAGTGGTCACCTTTTCCTCCCAGAGAAACTTTTCTTTTTCCATTTGTGACAGGGTCTTACTGTATAGCCCTGGCTGGCCTTGTACTCACAAAAGATCCAAAGCCTCTGCCTCCTGAGTGCTGGGATTAAAAGCAAGTGCCACCATGCCCAGCCAAGGAACACTTTTTTAACCTTTAGTTTTGTATAGCCACTGTAAAACCCTCACACACAGCCCGGGGGTCCTGATTACCAGAAATGGTAAAACCACATCTTCCCTTCCCTCTGCATTTTGATTTTAAAGTTAAATAGAAATGACACCTGGTGGCACATCTGTTCAATTACAAGTTTTATTTGCATTTTACTTTTGTATTACGGTGTACAAGTTTGTAGTTTTAGGCAAAAGAATGTGGCCAATATTAACTGTAACCTCAGTCATGTTTCATAAGATAAACCCAAAGCATGTTCCTAATACTAATTTTCATTTCTTTAATTACCATCAGAATTATTTATCATCTGTATTTCCTTATGAAAATGATTCTTATGTCACTTATCAAAGGTGTTCTAGATACTGGTTTTTGTTTCACTTATTCTGGATAGTAAGGATTTTTGCTGTTAATCACCTTTCTTGCTATTTTCTTTCCAATAAGCTTTAATGTCTTTTTGGCTGATTTTAAAGTTCACTTTATGTATTTGTCTTCTTACTTATTACTTTCTTATTACCATAACTGAATACCTGAAACTGGGAAACATATAGCAAAATTTATTTCTTACAGTTCTGTAGGCTGGAAAATCCAAGGCTAAGGATGGCCGTCTTGCTAGTTTTCTCTTTTCATAAATATGCAGCAGGACATTTATTCTACTTTATATTTCATAGTTTGTGATTTTTTTTAACATTGTATAGAATGGGGTATACTCTATAGTTAGGTCTTTATATTATGTATGTCTTACTAAAATTCCTTGGGGGTTGGTAAATGGCATCCACCCCGGACTCCCTTGGTCCGAACAACAAACTGAGTTAGGATTTCACCAAAATGCACTGAGAAAACAATGAGTTCACAGGGCTTACTTACAGAGCAGTGGATGTGGGATTACTTACAGTATTGTGGGTGCTCCCCACCTAAGGCCTCACTGGAAAGTCTTCTCCCAAACATGGATAATGGCTTCTCCTAATCTGCACAAAATGGCAAGAGACCCTGCCCTAATCTTCCCCAGGTCACATGCAACTTGTCACAGGTTTGTTGGGAGGTTTGGCTAGACTCCTGGGTGTAGGTCCTGTGACGCTCCCTGGCCCTCCCTTCCATGCCAGGACATCAACAGTCAGCAAGCCCATCTGTGATGATCTTAGGCAAGCAGGCACAGCTGAGCTCAGGAAGATGGTGTGTGCCTATGGCAGTGCAGTCCTATACAACAGTATTTTATGATAACTTGAACATTAGCATTTATTTGTGGGTGGTGTACAATCATGCTTTTTTTTTTTTTAACAATCATGCTTTATCACATTAAATCTACCAACAACCCTAAGAAGTGGGCACTAAAACCCACATTTAACAGATGAGGAAAATGAGACCACTGAGCTACAAAGAGGTAGAGAGAGCCCCAGTGGTAACCACATAGTTGGAAACCCCAAAATCCTACTGTACCTTTGTCAAATAATTACTGAGTCTTTTTGGTCATGTTACTTATGGATAGTTTTAGTGTGTTCTTATATTTACTTTTTGGAATTTCAGTAATACCTCTTTAATTTCTGTTTTAAAGTCAATACCCTTCAGTTTTATGTCCCTTGATATGGATTTTAAAATCATATCATTTTCTTCATGCAAGTCCTTCACAAATGTTATGCTTTTCCATATTTCTTTTTCCTTTAAAATAGACATTTTGATAAATATCAGTGGTATTATATCTAAGCTTCATTTCTTTAGAATTTTAATATCATCTATCTAAGGCCTCATTCATCAGATACAGTGGCAATGCACATAGCAGGCAGTTCCCCCAAGAAAGCTTCAGTGATGTGGAGCCATCTGCTCTGGCTTTAGGAAATTCAAGATTCAACTCAAGTTTGAAATCCTCCCCCCCATAAGTTGTCATTTAAATACAGCTTTGTTGTATCATTTAAGTTACCATAGAAACTTCACTTCTAATGTTTTGCTTTGTAGAAAACCAGTTTTTTGGGTTTTTTGTTTTTTCAATGCTAGGGATCAAATTCAGGACCTCACACATTTACGGAAAACACAGAATTTGATTCTTGATTTTAAGATGCTAAGATGCTGATAGTCACATAAAACTTTCCTATGTAGTTTTTATAGAGTAAATAAAATTATACCTTGTCTCCTCCTTTTGCTGTCATCTGTCCATGCATCAACTGTCACCGTGACAGCACTGTATGCAGGTTAAAGATTTTACAATGAGAATGACTTACCAAGGTTGAAGAGCCTAGACTTGACAAACTGGAACTAAAGGGTAGAATGCTTCATGTGAATGTGAATGTTCCCGGTCCAGGTGGGCGACCAGATTGTTGAAATCAATGGGGAACCTACACAAGGCATCACACATACTCGAGCAATTGAGCTCATCCAGGCTGGCGGAAATAAAGTCCTTCTTCTTCTGAGGCCAGGAACTGGCTTGATACCTGACCATGGTAAGTACAACAGCTTAGACATTGATGTGTTAGGGAGGGCACAGCAACAGGAAAGGACTATGTCTCTGAAGGGGATGGATATTTCACTGATGGGTTCAGAGGTGGATATCAGAACATCAGAAGCAGTTACTATAAAACAAGTAATGTTTTCAAACAGGATGTTTGTTGGAATAGAATATATTTTAAATTTATTTCATCTGAAAACATAATGCTTGTAGAGAAGTGTTCCTGTAAGAAACAAGAACATTAAAGGCAAACAATTTAAATGTCATGATAAACATTTTAAATGTCTTCAGAATTATCCCAGCTTTCTTCCCTTTTTGGCTAATTTCACATTACCACAAATGTTTATTTCCTTATAGTGAGATAAATTTGTCTCTTACTGAGTAAATACCATAGGAACTGTAGGATTTTCTGGTCATTTACCAAAGTAAGTTCCTATAGCCCTACTTCCTAGAAACACAGAGGTAAACCTGAGATCATGTCTGTACTCGTGTACTGATGGGAAATGTCCTTGGTTTCATTATAGGTTTTTGAATTATCAGAATACTTAAAAAAATCACTTTTAAAATGCAGGATCCTAGAAATAAAGGCAGTACCACACCCACTTAGTACTTGTCTCCTCTGCCCAACTCCCCATCACAGAGCTTTTGTAGGGTGAATGTGGACATAACCTCCTCCAGCCCCCTTCCAGCTGTTGAGTCTCTGGCTGTATGATCTTCCACCATCTGCTCATAAAGTATACATTCCCAGTGACACCTTTGCTGACTGCGCTGATTTGTTTTCACATAGTCCTAGGCTTTTTCTCTTCCTTCTTCAGGTTTGGCTCCTTCCGGTCTGTGCTCCTACGTGAAACCTGAGCAACATTAAGGCTTTCAGGGCTTTTCTTGGTCTTTCCTTAAAAAGACTTGGTAAATTTGCATGTCTTATAAATCACTTCTTTCGTTTTCTTTTTAATTAAAAAAGATGCTATTAAATATATCTATCCCTGTCTTCTGCACTTTCAGTCTCCTTTTGACATTAAATTTGACAGCCTAACTAAAAAAATTATTTACAGTGCCTATACGCCTCATTCAGGTTACCACAGTCTAGTCTTTTACTAGTGATTTTGGTATATCCTTAAGTTAAAACCAGTGAGAATAATTAGTAAGTTTCTTGGACCAGGTACTTTGGTCCAATTTTATTTGTTTACTACAGGTATCTTATTTGGCTTTATGAACAAAGAATTTACAAATCATATGTTGCTTCTAATTGTACATAAAATGATTGGTGTTATTTTATAAATAAAAATAATCTACCCTTCATGTATGGGTAAAAACCGAAAAGTCTTTACAGAGAGTGATGTGAACATGTGAAGGCCATGTAATGTACTCATCTCAGGCTGTGTAAGTAGTCAGTAAAATTCAAATGGCTGTCAGAGTTCAAAACTTAGTGTTCCTATTTATAATTCTTGAGTGTAATAATGTTCCACTTAAATCACTTTCTAGGTGATTGGGATGTTAATAATCCTTCATCTTCCAGTGTCATTTATGATGAACTGCCACCACTTCTTCCATCTTCACATTCTGCTTCCACATTTGAAGAGTCTCATGTGCCACTGACGGAAGACTCTCCGATGAGAGTTCAGATATGTGAAAAGACAGAAGAACTAAAGGACACTGTAGCTGAAAAGAAAAGCACTTTAAATGGAAATCAGCCTGAGAAGTATCAGTTTCTTCCCCAGAAAAATGTGAACAAGAGCGATCCACCCAGTAGTCAGGGGCCCAGTGACAAGACGAATCTACCAAAAGGAGAGAATGGTGTTACACGAAGAGGTAGATCTGCTAGTCCCAAAAAGTCAGCTAATCGGTATGCAGGGGAACATTTGGAAAAGATTTCTAGCCCTCTAAAAAATGACCCCAAAGGAAAACCCAGAGATCGATCAGTTAGCCCTAGAAAAGGAGAGAATAAAAGTCAGATCATCACCAAGGCAGGTTCTGGACAAGGTCATTACAGAAAAGGCAGAGGGCGGTCTTCTAGCCCAAAGAAACAGCAAAAGATTGAAGGAGGCAAAGGCCCATCAAACACTGAAAACAGATTATCAGAGGGTGGAAGCCGAAGAGCAGTGGGCCACACTAGTGACAGTGCTGAACAGCTCCCAGATGGGAAAAAAAAATCAGGGGTTGTCAGGAAAGATCTGAAGCACAGTCAGCTGGGAAAAAACAGAGCAAGGTCTCCAGAGAAGAGCGAGAGAATGGATGAAAATATTCTTCCATCCAAAAATACCAGTAACAGTGCTAGTAGGGTAGATTCTGAAAACGAAAAAGGAAAGAAGGCAACCGCAGGAGAAACAGGTTCCAGTAAAGATAAGATGGGAGAAAAGGTCCAGGTGTCAGAAAAGAAGCTGAAGCAGGAACCTGAAGAGAGGATGGTGTTGAGTAAAACAAATGATCACAAAAGGAAAGAACCAGAGGGGGCGGGCAGATGGAAGGAGGGTGCAGGGGGCAAACCTGAAAGCTCTCCAGTTAGGAAAGCACCCATAACACCAGGGCCCTGGAAGGTGCCAAGCTCAAATAAAGTGACAGGCAGTACTGGTGTGGCTGACAAACAGCTGTAACCTTCCATACAAAACAAAGAAAAATAAGTTGTAATCTTTTCTTTAAAAAAAGAATTTTTTTCCCCTCAAATTCTGAAACACTTAAGTAGGTTTAAATTGGAGCATCAAGGTAGCAAGACTGCATGAAGGGCCTCTGGGTTGCCAAGACCTGCAGTTCCCTGGCCGGCTACCCTCCCCTCACGCTCAGGAAGGAGCTGCATGCTCATTTGACATGCCTGCTCAGCTCAGCACCGAGAGTGTCTGAACAAATAACATGCTGATATTAACAGTGTGGTCACAACTCACTTTGTATTCGTGCCAAGTTATCTACTGTATCATGTCTGTTTATCCTTCCCATTCAGATATTTCCAGTCATGAAACAGTTTAGTTTGGCTTGGAAGTTGATGTTTTCAAATAGCATGTTGCATGTTTACAGAGAGAAGTATTTGAGTTCTTGCAGACAAAGAGATTATTAGCTCATCATTAAAGACTGCACTTGCCTCTTCCAACAGCTACTGATAGTGTCCTAGTTTTAAAATATAACTCAAAAACATCACTACTTTAAAGGGAAGGTCAAATATTGATGCTTTCTTATGGCTTTTAAATTTGCTTAAATAAGGTGTTTCAAATAACTGTCCAAAGATACTCCTTAAAATGGAATGTTCAAAATGAGAAAGTACCTTAAGCAGCAGAATTGACCGCCTCCTGCCTTGTTATCCAGCCCACCCTTGTTATCTCAGACCACCTGTTGTCCTGAGCAACCACAAGGCAGCATGTGGAAGTACTGCTTGTTTCTCTTTAAAGAAAAACAATTTCTGGATATTCTGATTATATCTGCTACTAAAATCATTAGTCTTACATACATTATTTGAAGGGTCAAAATATTATATAGATTTTGTGAGGGACTTAATCATGAAGCCAGTTTCACAGTTCATTGCCAAAGCACCAGCTGCCGTGGTACAAAGGAGTTCATCTGGTGGCAGATGTGCAAGTTTAGAGGTTTTAGAAGCAGAGCCTTCGTCAGGCCTGCCCTGCAAGTCAGGACTAATGTGGTAGAATGTGTGTGTTGGATTTTAATTTCTAGCTATATTAGCTTTATTTAAAAAACAAAACCTTTTGAGTTCTTTTCTAAAAGTCTAATAAAAATGTTTGCTGGAAGTAGGAGACAATTTTTAACCTCATACAGTAGATCCAGATTTGTAGTCTCCTAAAGCAGCAGTGAACAGCATCTATTACTACAGCCACATTCTCAGAATGAAACGATCTATGGAGGATTGGAACACATTCTGTTACCCTGGGTTCATCTTGTTGTAAACAAACACATTATGTCAGGTCTTTCCTCTGCAAGTCTGACTGTGAAACTCTACTTAACTGTACTGGCCCCTGTAGATAATACATGCTTCCCAGTGTTGAGACTTCTGAAATCCCCTTCCATCCAGAACTATACTTACCCACCCATCTTATCTTAACTACTTCAATAGAACAAAATTAGGAGGCTTGATAAATGCTAAGAATTTAGTACTACAGAAATGATTTATTTTCCCTATAATCCACTATTAGTGATACAAATCCTATTTTTATTGTTAACTGTAACACAATTTTGATGTCATATGTTGTCAGTCTGATGTGGCTCTTCCTTTCTAAGTAATCTGTCACTGTACTGATTCTACACTGACTTAGCAATGTGGCCTTGGAATGCTGAGCAAAATATGGATGTATTGGTTGTAAATGTTTATATATGTACAGCACCTTTATATATACACTTGAGGTTCTGATTAGAGAAAGATCTGTAAATCGCTCGTTATTTTTTATATAGATATTAAAAAAAGAAAAAAAAGTTCATGCCCTGCTTTTCATTGACTGTCAGCTTTCCATGTGTGGAGCTGGTTCCCATCACCATCTGAATCAAATACATTTTGTCCCTACAAATGCAAGTATTCAAAATCTTAGAATCAGATAGCCTCAAAACAGTGTTCCTTTACCATGTACACTTGAATTTCATATATGGATAAAAGTTTTGAGTTAAGCTGGGCATGGTGGCGCACGCCTCTAGTCCCAGCACTTGGGAGGCAGAGGCAGGCAGATCTCTGTGAGTTCAAGGCCAGCCTGGTCTACATAGTGAGTTCCAGGACAGCTGGAGCCACAGGGAGACCCTGCTTCAAAAAGACCAAAAAAAAAAAAAAAACAAGTCTTGAGTTAAAGAACATACCTTTTTTCATATTTCGTTGCAAAGAAATTTCTTCCTCTATCAGGGAGAAAAGACATTTTATCTTACTGGAAATTTAGTTACTATGCATTTGGAATGGACTAATGGCATGAGACCACTTACCACAAGATCACAGAATTCAGTGGCAATTCACATTCTTAAAGATCATTTTTTTGTTTACCTTTTAGATTGTCTAGACACTATTTCTTTCCACTTTTAGTATACTTTTCTGTTGCTGTCATTAAAAACAAAAAACCATACCAAGGCAACTTATAGAAGGAAGAGTTTATTGGGCTTATAGTTCCGGACAGAGGGATGAGAGTCCATCATGGCAGAGGCATAGCAAGAGGTAGCCAAAGCAGAAAAATGAGTGCTTACATCTTCAGGCAGGCACAGGAAGCAGAGAGAAACTAGAAGTGGGATGTGGCCTTGTGGTTTTGAACTCTCAAAGCTCACCTCCAGTGATGTGCTTCTTCCAGCAGGGCCACACCTCCTAAAGGTTCCATGGCACTTCCCAAATAACTCCAGGAGCTGGGGACCAAGTGTTCAAATACTTAGAGTCTATGGGGACATTCTCATTCAAACCACCACAGAGGCAACCACATGGAAATCCAGGAAAGGTCTGAATAGAAATTGTGTAAGTCTAGTTTCCATATTTTAAGCTCATTCATGTGGCTGTGGGGAAATGACTGGTCAGCCATAATGGACACCCACAGGTAGAGCTGAGCAGCCCACATGACTGTAAAAGAGGCTTAAGCTAGTAGCAGAGAAAATGCAGAACTGGATTAGATATGGATTCTTTGGCTGAGGAACTGTGTAAGCTCCATACCATTTACTAAGGTGAGAAAAATGTTCTGTCCCACCTTAAAACTAAAAATGGGGGGGGGATTATTTAAAAGTGTTTCAACACAAAAACACAACTCACCTCAATGGGGATAAGAGATAGTTTATTTTGGAGCCAAAATAACCAGCCCAGGAACAGAAATTCAGGTTACCCCAAATTCCATGTTCCAACATGGTAACAGTTTCACGAAGTTTTTATATATAGTAACAACAAAGAAAATCAAATCAAGAAAACTTTCCAAATACATTACTGGAGATATCAGAGAGGCAGGTTTATGGCAATGTGGGGCAAATTCTGCCTTAGATTGCTATCAGACAGACTTGGGCCTTGGCTTGGTAAAGGCTGGTGGTCTGCTAAGTTATACATTTCAAAGGTTTTTATCTGTTTGTCACAGGATGTTAAGTCAGCAACAGGGGTGGTGGGCAAGGAATGGCTATTTAGGAGGCTAAAGATGGCCCCAGATGAATTATAAATAGGCTCTGGACCTGCAACATTCCAAACTCCACAGTTACTGAAGTGCTAATCAATTAATCAGCCTGCAGGAGGTTCAGTCCAAGAAACTTTTTTTATCTGGGAACTTTGATTCACAAGTGGATGTTAGGTTCTGGACAAAGAACACAAACTGATAGTATTAAACAAGGCAAACCCCAGGACTTCCCAGATTATTGCCTACAGGTAATCTCTGGGCTGCAGTATAGAAAGGAAGCCAAAGAAACCAAGTAGTCTTGTTGGTTTGAGAAGACTGCACTGGGAAGGAACACCAGGGCAGGAAAGAGAAAGAAGGCAGTTGCAAGAGCTCCAGGGATATGCAGAAGGGTCTCCCAGTCTTAGCTGAGTACCAAGTGGCACAAGCACAAGAGGAAATACTCCAAACAAAAAGAACCACCAAGCAGAAGCAGGCAGGAAAATTGCAGAAGTTCACACAGGGCTGGGACCACACAGCCAACTTGGGAAAACTTCACCACAAACAGAAGACCAGGTACAGTGCTCGGAAAAATTTTTCTTCAACAGCAAAGTTAACCTGAGCCTGATGTCCCTGGCCCACCTCCCAAGCTTAAAAGCAATCCTTGAAATGACTGTCTCTAGTTTCAGAATAAAGCTCAAGAATAAGATTTACAAAAAAGAATACCACAAAGCCCAAGACCCAACAATGTAAAATTCACAGCCAATAAAAAATTATGAGGCATGTAAACAGGAACAATCCCAAATGAAGAGACAACTCAATAAAAACAAATTCCCAAATGGTACAAAGAGCTGTTTTAATATCCTGTAGTACTCTGACTCTAAACCTAAATGGATTTATTGTGTGAAAAAAGTAGAAAAAAGTAAATAAGGAGTGATTTGAAAAAAAATTTTAAGAGTAAAATCAAGCTTTGACAAATGAAAAATATATTGGATGGAGCAGCCATAATGGCATACTTATAATCCCAGCAGAGGCAGAGGTTGGAGAATCAGGAGTTAGAGGCCAGCCAGGGCTACATAGTACAACCTTGTCCTAAAATTTTTAAAGCAATACACTGGATGAGCTTAGCAAATTCGTGCAGAAGAATGGGTTAAAGAACTTAAAGGAACAGCAAAAAGCAAAAATCCAAAATAAAAAGGACTGCAAAAATGTGAATGTCAGTGAACTGAGGGATGCCTCAAGCAACCTAAGACATGTAGGTCTGAGTCTCAGAAGGAGACAGGTGAGAGTAGAGTACAGAATCATTTTAAAAAATGCCAAAAGTTTTCAAATCTAATCATGTGAAAATATGAACTACACATAAAATGACATGAAAACTATAAACCACAGATTCCTTAAGTCCCAACAAACCAAAAATACAAAGAAAATTATATCAACACATATAAATGCACAAATTACCATTGCATGAATTCAATGGTAAAGCTAAAAATCTTACAAAGTAGTCAAAGATAGAGGCAGATTCATTATTACATATAGAGTAACAGAAATAGAAGTGGACCTTTGGTCAGAAGTAATGCAATCTAGAAGGCAATGAAGCAACTATTGAAGCATTTGTTCCTTCTGTTAAATGGTAAACCAAGGTTTCTATGAGCCATTTCTTATACAGTGAAATGTCTCTATAGAATAGTTTCGGAAACTTACAGCTTCTGGGACTGGAAATATGGCTTAGTGGTTAAGAGCACTTGCTGCACAATCATGAGGACTTGATTCAGATCCCAGCACTAACATAACAAGCTGGGTATCTGGTAACCCTAGGTTCTGGGGCTTGCTGGCTTCCAGTCTAAGAAAATGTGAACCCCAGGTTCAAAGGAGAGACCCTGCGTCAAAGGAATAGGTAAACAGCGATAGAGGAGGTCACTTGATGCCATCTTCTAGTCTATACATAACACCCACAAGTGCATATACATACACAGAGAACAGAGATCTTTGTTTTTTTAAGTATGGCTTGCATGTAGCATTTAGAATGTGTAAATACTCTTGTTGATCTACTTGTATTCATAGATATAAATTGATCAGATTTTTAAAAGATGTTAGGTAGTGATAATATTTACTGTGGATTTAATAAACTGCTAAATATTTTATACTGTGCTAGGAACCTTATACAATCTCATTAAACCTAAATAGTTATTATCCCTATTTAACAGGTAAGGAAATTAAGATGCAAAGAATTAACTTGTCCCAAATTGATATATTTACTAATAGCAGGGACAAGGATTTGAACCCAGAAAGATCTGTCCATCTCCTGGGAAGTTCATCTTTTCATCTCAAATTTTCCTACATATAGAATGTGTAACTAATACTATAATTTTTTAAATAAGTATATGCATTACATGAAATAGCCAAGTTCCACAAAAAAAATCTTAAGTTACTTGCTTTGATGAATTTCTTGAGGCAAACTCAAATTGAATGAACACTGGCATTATCATTAACACTGGCATTATCATTAACAGACGTGTGTAACAGGATACTGATAAAAAAGCCTGTATCAGGGGCTGGAAAGATGGCTCAGCAGTTAAGAACACTGGCTTACTCTTGCAGAGGACCCAGGTTCAAATCCCAGCACTCATATGGTAGCTAACAACCATCCCTAACTCAAGTTACAGGGGATTTGACACCCTCTCCTGACCTCCACAGGCATCGCATGACACGGGTGCACTTACATACATGCACGCATAACACTCATATACATAAAATAATAATAAAACCCTATATCAAAGGCACAGCATGACTGCTTATAGATAACAAGGACCTGAAATTGAACTGAGAGCTAGATATATCAGGTTTCACAACAGGCATATTATTACTAGGGAAACTGCTGCCATGGGCTGGGCTGAGGGGTCTTGGATTTCTTATGCCGAATTACCAGTAACTGCTACAGGATTAACTCAAAATCATAAATTAACAATTTTTCCACAAGTAAACACAATTCACAAAATTTAAAAGGTACATACACACACACACACACACACACACACACACACACAAAAACGACCTAGAAACAAATTCTCCAGCAAAGTTCTTTTATTTGGATTCAGGATCTCTCTTTGATAAGAGAAATCTCCATAGACTATAATAGAAAAGTACTGAATTTTCTTATTTCCAATAAAAGGTAATTGCTTCATGCTTTGGGTACCTACTATGGTTACCCAAAAGAATATTTCCAGTAAATATAACTATCACAGTACTGAAGGGTCCAGGATAAAAGTCCTAACTTAGAAAACTATCCTTGTGTTACTATAACAGTCTTTAGTCTGTTGACTATTCACATTGTTTGAGAACCATGACAGTGCAGGTTTTTATCATGCACGCCCGGGTAGAAAATACTTGATCCTCTGGAAACTCTGGTCATTAGGATGGGCTGAGCCGAGAGACCTGTCTATGTGAGCCAGCAGGTAGGCTCTCAACTGGTTTCTGTGAACCATCTCTCCTCAGTGGGTGAGCACTGATGCTATCCAGGGAAGAGTCCAGGCACATGACTCAGCTTATGACTTAATTTTCCACAGCTAAGAAAATTAAAAAAAAAAAAAAAAGTTCTAAGACAAACAGGTGGAATTTAAAATATATTATTTACATGACTGAACCAAGAACCCTTTATATAAGAAAAAAAAGGACAACTCTGATGATTATAAGACCACAGAGAAAAAAAATTATAGTATCTCCAGGATCAAAAATGAGACACTGCAGTTAATTCCCTGATGGCTCTGTCACACTCCTGTGCTCCCCTAGGCCACAGTGACTCCTTTACTTAGATTATGCTACACACATGGAAATGCAAAACTGATTTCTGTTTGATCAAGAATTTAGTCTATTGGGCTGGAGAGGAGAGCTCAGTGGTTAAAAGTACTGGCTGCTCTTGCAGAGGACCAAGTTTGAGTCCTGTCACCCACATATCAGCCAATAACCGTCCATAACTCCAGTTCCAAAAGAATCCAACACCCTCTTCTGACCTCTGTGGGAATTGCATGAAATAGGTGCACTTACCCATGCAGGTATATATACATACACATAAAAATGACAAAAATTTTTTTTTGGTCTTTTCGAGACAGGGTCTCCCTGTAGCCCCAGCTGTCCTGGAACTCACTATGTAGACCAGGCTGGCTCTAAACTCACAGAGATCCACATGCCTCTGCTTCCCAAGTGCTGGGATTAAAGGCGTGTGCCACCATGCCCAGCCAAAATATTTTTTAAATAATTAAAAATAAAGAGTTTAGTCTATCATACTTGTGTGAAATGAAGAAAGCTAAGCTGAGAAGCCTGCAAACTGCCAGTCAAATGTCCTTTTGGCCTCAAGAATTCTGTGTAACTCATGTGACACACATGGTGCTTTTTAGACAAGCAGCTACAGAAAGGTAATCACACTTACTCTTATGTTAAATCCTAGAAGATCACTTATAACTCCTGAGACAGCAGAAAGTATAACTACTCTTGTGATATTATAGATTAAGGGATTCATTGTCAGTCCATAGAGTCTAAATGGTGTGTCCAGCTCCTACAAAGACAAAACTACAATGAGACATGGCTTTCCAATACCTATCAGTAGTCCATGCTGGTTTTTAAGTCTTGAGGAGGATGTTTAAGGCTCGTTTCTTAATATTCAAGAGCTACTTTCAAAGATATTCACTAAGGATTCACCAACCTTTCAGTGGCCTAACCTTGTGGATGGAAGCAATAAGTCCTTTATACTTTTAAAAAACAAAGTAATTTAAGAAATGTAATAGACATCAGTAGCCACCAGAACCTACTTTTCCTGAGACTGGAAATTTTCTCCTAATAACTGAAAACCATTATGCTTGTGTTCTGAATCTATATAGCCTAGTGCCCATCTATTAGGAGGACTTTTCTAAGAAGTAAAGCACTGATTTAATGAAATAACTGGAAACAAGCTTAAGTTCACTTCATCTTCCTTGTACAAGACCCCTGTGAGCTGCTGGCAGCTTGGGTCCTGTGTACAGACAGGTAGGCCTTTCAGCTTCGGTTGGTGAATGCCTGGTAAGGAGCTCTTTCTGGAGATCATTGATAAGAGGACTGCAGGTCTTAGGGTCAGCATCAGAGAAGGCATTTGGAAGATGTCCAGGCTAGTAGGACATCCTAGGCTGAGGCCAGCAGCAGGTTCTTGGGCATAGTGGCATTGGTCATGCTAGTGCCTCCTGGAGCAGGGCTGAGGATACCAACACAGCTACTACAGCAGCCAGTCACCTGGCAGGGCCCCTGTAAGGCTTGCCCATCCTTGCCTCTAGGAGCCTCTCCTCACTGGAATGAATAAGGATGGCGGAAAGCTGAACCACCGGCAGCCCCTCAGTCAGTCTGAGCACTCAAACCCAGACCAAACCCAGTCTGCTGGTCAGCCTAGGTCTGCTTTTCCATGGGTCAAAACTTGTCCTTGAGGGATGGCCCCCTGTGCTTTAGTATCAACTTGACACACCTGGATTGAGGGAGCCTCAATTGGGGAATTTCCTTCGTTGGACTGGCTTGTGGCCATGTCCATGGGGCACCTTCTTGATTGTTGAGTGATGTGGGAGGGCTCAGCCACTCATCCCACTGAGTGGTGCCACCCCTGGGCAGGTGGGCCTGTGTTGCATAAGAAAGCAGGCTGAGCAGGGGCCAGGGGAGCAAGCCAGTAAGCAGCATTCCTCCATGACCTGTGCTCCAGCTCCTGCTTCCAGGTTCCTGCCCTGAGTTCCTGCCTTGCGCTCCCTGATGAACTGTGACCCGGGAGATGTAAGATGAATAAACCCTTTCCTCCCCCAAGTTGGTAGTGGTCAGTGTTTTGTCACAGCAATGGAGAAACAAACTAGGACACCCCCCAAATCAGCAGATAAGCACCAACCACCAGGAATGTGCTCTTGTTTCTGATCAGGCAGCCCAACATGGTGATGGGAACCACTTTGCCCAGTCTTGCCTCCAGGAGCTCTATGACAGCTCTGGCCTGACCCAGCCATGACCTTGAAGGCTGAGGCATCATCTATTTTTTTTTTTCCTCATAGAAGAAGCCGACTTACTTTACACTATAGTAAAAGTATATTGGAGTACAGTACTTACCTTTAATAACTTTGTCGACAGCTTTAACACATTGTTTACTAGAGTGAGCTGTTCTTTCTTATTTGGCTTTTTTTCCATCTTAAGATACAAATTAATCTAAGAGAAAGAAAAGAGACAAAGGTCAGTTTTACAAAAAAAATGCATATACACTGCATAAAATCTGCTAGATGTTGAGGATTATGCTTTCAAGTAAAATACATTTTTTCAATTCTCAGCAGCTATAAAGCCATGAACCCAGACCCCATCTCTAACCAGCACCCCTTCAGTGAAGAAAAGCTACTTAGGGAAGACAAAATAATTTAAAGTGAAACAATTTAAGTATCAAAATAAAAAAATACTAGTTGTAGTAGAATCAACATGTAAACTCCTTGAGTTCAAAAACTATACCTTATCAGTTCAGTATTCTCCAAATAATCTAATATCTAATATCCTCATTAAACATGTGGGAAGAAACATGTTCGTAACTTAATAAGTCCTTATTTTTTCCTCATAGGAAGAATTCTCCACTATGATTCTAATGCCAAAGATTTAAATTTTAAAAATGATTCCAGATGTTTTTACTTAGAGGTTATGGGTAAACTTGAATTTGAAATAAAAATTAAAGAAACTGCATTATTCTCCATATTCACAAAAAATATTTCTCAATCTTAGTATGTTTTCACATGCTGAAAAAATAGTGTTTTCCAAACACTGAATAATGTATTCTAGAGCAGATGGAGAAATTCAAAATGCTCATTAATCATGTTACATAACAAGTACTCTAAAGATCCAATATTTGATATCATGATGGGATTAAAAGCAAGTTCCTACCAATAAAAGTACCTTTACAGTATACAAAGTATTCAGCCCATTAGATCTTATCTCTCCCAGTCCTGAATAGGAAATGGAAAAGGTGTATGCCCATTTTATAAGCAATAAAAAAACACAGCAGCAAAAGTGATTTGGGATTATAAATCTAGAGAAGTGATGGCTAGACAGCAACTCAGTCCTCGACATAAACACTACAGTATATAAGGCTACCTCTAACCACGGGCCAAGTCCACAGGACCAACCAATACCTGTTCAGTAAGTAATATAGAAACATTGCTGTACTTCTTATTGGTTTCAGATCCCAACGAGGCTAGGCGGAGCAAAAAAAGTAGCAAGGCCGTTTCCCAGATTAAAAACTCCCAATTGTAAGCATCATTGAGGAAAGTCTTGTGGCCTTGAAGAACCTATTGAAGGACCCAAGAAAAGTTTAGCTTTTGTCTTAAAGTCATAATTATTCCTTATCAATTTTAAAACATTATCAGAAATCCATAGTTTTAAGGCTCAAAGGAGAAGAGTTGAATATTCATATTATTTACTTAACATTATGTATTTCTTAAGTTTCCTAGATTTTTTTTCTCTTTCATGGAAGACAGCAAGTATCCACAAGGAGCAAAGGAGAAAAATATAACAGGGATGCATTTCCAGCTCCTTTAATCACCACTGTTTACTTACAAGTACATGGTGACCATTGCTCAAAGGAGCGAATATTTGTGTTTCTAACAAGCTGCCTGAAATGAGTCAGCTCTGATTCCATTTTAGGATTTAAGTAAACAACAGCAGCAACCTTTATTACTGAGTACCTATTACATGTCATTTTTTAAAAATATTTTTTTAATTTTATGTATATGAGTGCATTGCCTGCATATGTGTAAGTGCACCTATGTCATTTAGAAGAGGGCACTGGATTCCCCTGGAACTGGAGTTAGGGAGAGTAGTTAGCTGCTATGTGGGTACTGGGAATCGAACCCAGGTCCTCTCCAAGACCAGCCAGTGCTTTTAACCGCTGAGTCATCTCTCTAGGCTACATCTCATGTTTTTGCTGCTTTTAAAGTTTGTTGACTTACCCGAGTATGGTGGTGCACACCTTTAACCCCAGCACTTGGGAGGCAGAGGCAGGCCTATCTTTTTGAGTTCAAGGCCAGCTGAGGCTACAAGGAGAGACCCTGGCCTGTACAAAAAGACCAAAAACAAAATTTGTTGACTTAAACATAAAATAACTGGGCCCACTGTAGTGGTACACACCTTTAATCCCAGTACAGGACACAGAGGCAGGAAGAGCTCTGTAAGTTCCAGGCCGGCTTAGTCGACATAACAAGTTCCAGGCCAGCCAGGGCTAGATAGTGAAACTCTATTTCCAAAATAAAAATTAAAAATAAAAAAAATTAAAAAGCAAAGAAATTTATTCAAACAAGCCCAAAAAAGTTGAGCTAATTTGTCAAAAAAAAAAATGTGTATATATATATATATATATATATATATACACACACAGAGAACTCTCAAAGACAAACTACAAGTTGTCCTCCGACCTCCACATGTGCACCATGACAAGTGTACACACATGAGCACACAGAAACAAATACAATTAAAAAAGAAACAAGCAACCATAAAAGTCATTCTGATGACATGAGACACACCTAGAGTATGAGAACAAAAAGATACATGGGGGGCTGGAGAGATGGCTCAGCAGTTAAGAACACTGGTTGTTCTTGCAGAAGACCCAGGTTCGAATCCCAGCACACACACAGCAGCTAACAACTGTCCGATAACTCCAGTTCTGGAGGATCTGACAGCCTCTTCTGTCCTCCACGGGCATTGCCAAACATGGGTGCACTTACCTACATGGAGGCAATACGCCCATACACATAAAATAAAAATAAAATATTAAAAAAAAAAGATACATGGAAAAAAATAACCCTAAGATAGAACACAGAAATAGAGGTTCCCCTGGTTTTTTTGAGACAGGGTCTCATTCAGCCCAGGAAATATAGCTAAACATGATCTCTGATCTCTCAACTGCTGGGTTATAGATCTCTGCCACCATGCAAATTGGAGACTATCCTGGGCTACATAATAAAATCATGTCACAAACAAACAAGCAAAACATAAATCAAAAAATGGCAAATGGACAAATTGACAGTCATAGTGGATTTAAGCATGCCTCCATCAAGAGCAAAAAAACAGACCAAAAACAGCAACATGACAGCAGTACAAGTAATGAGCATAGAGCAACCAGGGCAGTGCTCTCAGCAATGACAGACACAGAGCTTTCCAAAGCACTGATGGCAGAGTCAATAAAGCTGAGCACATGCTGGGGAATAAAGGAAGCTTCCACCTGTTTCAAAAGACTGAAAACAGTCTAGTGTCCTCTGACCACTGCAGAATCAACACTCAACAAATGGGAAAATGAGGTAAGTCTTTAAGTGCTTGCAATGAAGAAATATAAGTGCTTAAAAAGAAGACAGGAGGACCTGTCAAAAGGACAGCAAGGGCTTTCAGGAGGGTCCCCACTGCCCACATCTGAGACAATTTAGACATCAAAACAAACAGCAGATTATAATCCACTAGATAAAATCAAGGGCAGATTAACCCACAGTATAAGAAGTAGATGAACAGGAACTGGAGAGATGGCTCAGCAGTTAAGAGCACTGGCTGCTCTTGCAGAGGACCCGGGTTCAATTCCTAGCAACTACATGACAGCTAACAAATATCTGTAACTCCAGTTCCAGGGGATTTGACAGCCTCTTCTTCTGTCCTCTGTGGGCATTGCATGACATGGGTGCACTTACCTCTATGGAGGCAATACATGCATACAGATAAAATAAAAATAATAAATAAAAAAAGAAATGAGTCTTTATTAGACTATGAAATATATTTTGTGCTTCCACCTGTTTCAAAAGACTGAAAACAGTCTAGTGTCCTCTGACCACTGCAGAATCAACACTCAACAAATGGGAAAATGAGGTAAGTCTTTAAGTGCTTGCAATGAAGAAATATAAGTGCTTAAAAAGAAGACAGGAGGACCTGTCAAAAGGACAGCAAGGGCTTTCAGGAGGGTCCCCACTGCCCACATCTGAGACAATTTAGACATCAAAACAAACAGCAGATTATAATCCACTAGATAAAATCAAGGGCAGATTAACCCACAGTATAAGAAGTAGATGAACAGGAACTGGAGAGATGGCTCAGCAGTTAAGAGCACTGGCTGCTCTTGCAGAGGACCCGGGTTCAATTCCTAGCAACTACATGACAGCTAACAAATATCTGTAACTCCAGTTCCAGGGGATCCAACATCCTCTCTGACCTCCAAGGCACTGGACACAGGTGCGCTTACACACATGCAGGCAATACACTCACACTCACACATTTTTTAAATGTTTTTTTTAAAAAGCAGATGAACAATAGAGGAATGAGAAAGCAAGCTCTTCCCAGGAGTAAGAACCAGCAATGCTGGAGTAATGATACTGTTAGAAGATCACTACTCACAACTAGCAAGCTGTGAGAGCTTTATTGTCAGTCAAAAGCTGCCAACTAAAATTAAATAATTAATTTAAAATTTAAAATTAGCATAATCTAAGTGTTTTAAAGGACTTCAAAATTACCTGTATTCCCACTGCGAAAATAGATAAATAAAATGGACAGGTATCCAATAGCAAAAGGAATGCAGACACATTTAAACTCCATGGGTACACAGTGGTCTGCTCCACAACAAAGCAGCCATGGGAGCAAATTGCCACTTTTCACTAAAACAGGTAGGAAACTTTTACCTGTGCGCAGCAAATGAAAGCAATTGAAAGTGTCAGTAAGAAAACTGATGACACAACCACGTCAACTGAGCGCTGGGGACCCCGTCTCTGTGGAGTGAGACACATGTTTTAGGATACTGTCAGAGACAGCAACAGCCCTAACATTAACTTTGAATTGTACTACATTTCTGTGAAGATAAATGTTTACAAGAAGTTTCTGACATAGGATTTTAACTTATTTTGGGTATCAACTTGAAGCACTAAATGCTATTTTTTTCCAAATTAAAGGGACAACTGATTCATTAATGTTATTTCCAGCTAGGATAAGCAAAGTCAGAAAAGCATGCAATGTTTAATTTATCACCTTGACCTAGGAAACTTCGTATTTCCTTCTCTGCCTTTTTTACTGCTACCAGCTTTTCAGATACCTCATGTCTAAGTTGGCATCCAGCAAGTTTTTGTCAACCACTAAATAATCTGCCAAATTGCCAGAGACCCTGCTTGCTAGCAACTGCAGCCAGATTATCAGTGTGAATGTCTTAACAGCCCTGCATATACCCTACTGTAATAAAAAAGGCTTACCTTTAGATAGGAACGCAGTGATAACCATATTTTAATGTTCTCCACCTTTTTAAGTCTGAAATGAGGTATTTCATATTTCCTGGCTTTCCTGGCAGAAGTAATATGGCTGAAGAGTTTTGCAAATAAAAATCTCTAAAAGAGGTTTGAAAACAAAATCACAAAGCTAAATGTATCCGAGTATGTGCTCAACGACAATCAACAGCATCCTGGGGATGGTTAACACATTCAACAACAACAATAATCTGATCCAGTGATTCCTTAGAATGGCAGTGTGATTCCAAAGCGTGCCCTACAGTGACACACTTCTAAATACCCTGGCCATGTGCAAAGAACATTGGAGATGTTGATGAATCCTGAACTTCCGCAAATATAAAAGTTTATACATGATTCTAGCCTATTCCAAAATTATACTTCCATTAAAAAATCATATTCCTTGTGCACATCATCAGTAAATTAAATCCTCAATCCATAACTAAATTTCAATCAGTTCTTACTTGTCCATTTTTTCACACAAACTGTGAATAAAAAACGAGCTACCAATGCTGAACAGTCTAGCAACTAAGCCACCTATTTCTACAAATAGGCTTCAACAAAATTTCAGATTACAACCTGCTATGGCCATTGCACTTATGACCTCATAGCAGCTGTAGTTAGCTGCATAAGATGGAGCCTTCGATACACCATCATGGATGGGGAGCAGCTCATGAGGCCCCAGTCTAGCTGAGCAGCTCTGGGCAGTGACTTGTGGCTGGGAAGGAAGGAGTCATTTCCTTGAGTGTACGGTCACTGATAAGATGCCCACAGTCGAGGTAATAACCCACACCCACACTTATACAAGCAACATAATTAAACTCAGTGTGTTGTTTAAAAACATAAAGACATGAAAGTAGTTGGGGGGAGGGTAAAAGAGGGCAATGGAGAGTCAATACGATCAAAATACATACATGTATGAAATTATCAAAAATATATTTAAAATTTTTTGAAGATTTCAGATTATAGCATGTAATCTGCAAACAGTCAACAATATAAACATTAAATGCACAAGTACCAAAATTAAGAGAAGAAAATCAGCTCAATGGATCATCACACAAAAGAAAGAGAGAAATTTGACCTCTCTATCCACTGACCTGCTTATATGTTCTCTCAGCCACACACATCATGAAAAAAAACATCCAAGTAAGACACAATCTTTCAAAAAAATTAATTATAGACAAAATAACAACAGGTGTAACAGGTGGTGCTCCACAGAAGAAAGTCAGGATCTCCTCTCCTGAAATGGACTTCAGTTGGTCAAAGCTCTTCTCACGGAAAAGTCGATATAAAAAAGGAAAAAATGCCAATCCAATGGTGACAGCATTGCCCAGCATCTGATAACCTACGCCTTGCTGGTATGCATTGACCTGAGAACAGATGTAAGATCTCCATCAGTATGGCACAGCAAGAGGGAGTTACAGAGTATTTGTCAAATACCATTTTTAATATAAAGAAAATACATCTTAGGCTGGGTGTGGTAGTGCACACCTTTAGTCCCAGCACTCGGGAGGCAGAGGCAGGTGGATCTCTGTGAGTTCTAGGCCAGCCAGGTCTATATAGTGAGTTCGAGGCCAGCTGGGACTACAGTGAGACCCTGTCTCAAAAAGGCCAAAGAAAAAAAAAAAGGAAGAAAGAAAGGAAGAAAGCATCTTAAGAGGAATGCAAATAAAATGACAAAAAGATTTGGCCTGGCATTAGAGCTAAGCATGCAAGAGACCCTAGTTTCAGCCTCTAGCTAGTACGGGGACAGAGAGACACGGACACACACACACACACACACACACACACACACACACACACACACACACAAAACACAGACACATGTCTGCAGAGCAAACCTGAGCATCTGATGGTACAGAGTCCACATGACAGACTGTAAAATTTGCCAACTAAATACTTCAAAACCTATGTGCTTCAAAGCCAAGTTGGATCATTTTCGCAAAATAGATTCTTACCAAACAACTTGTTCCAGGTACTTTTTTCAAGAAATCAGAAGAACGCACTGTCTTACCCTGCTCATGATGATGCCGCTTATCTCCAACACAGACATGTCCATCTTCTTGCACTCATTTCCTTCCCAGATTATTGCACTAACTCGCTCAGAGGCAGGACTCGAGTTCTGAAGCCAGAATAAATGGTTCTGCGAAGAAAAATACCAAACTTTCCATTCACTGTCTTTCCCCCATAGGTTCTTCTTTCCCTTTGTTGAGCTCCCAGACTCCTGTGGTCAGTCTCAACAGTTCGTTCATTCTCTCTCTCAAATCCCATCACTCCAAGAACCACATGTCAAGGATGTCGATTTCTGATCTCACCTGGAGAGAGGCCAAATGCCTTCTCTAATGAAGAGAGCTAGGATCTAGGACCTACAACATCGTTTCCCATGTGCATTCACAATGTATTAAGGAAAGAAGGATCTGGAGAGCCACAGAAGGCACAGGGAATAGCAAAAAGAGGGGGTAAAAGCCTTAGCAATCACACAAAGAACTGGGGAATTTTCTGGCCCTAAGAAGGGCAGGGAAAAGCACAGAAGGCTCAACCAACACCAGAGTTGCTGGTCACCGTGACAACAGCCCCACTCTCCTCTGTCAGAGCCTGCCTTACTCTCCAAGTAGCACAAGCACCTTGTCAACAGTTGGATCCTCACCACAGCCATGAGCCTGATTTTGTTCTGAAATTAAAGATCTATATCCTCTGTATCATTGTGTCCCCAAAGATGGAAGTTTCTAAAGAAGAAGGTCAGGGCCTGGTAGTGCACACCTTTAGTCCCAGCACTCGGGAGGCAGAGGCAGGCGGATCTCTGTGAGTTCAAGGACATCCTGGTCTACATAGTGAGTTCCAGGACAGCTGGGACTACAGGGAGACCCTGTCTCAAAAAGACCAAAAAGACAAAAAGAAAAAAAAACAAAAAAGAAAAGGAACACATGATGCATGGCTTCTAGAAAGGAAGCATGTAGTGGATGGCTTCTTTTTCTACCACATAATGATGATCAGTCACTGGACAGCATGCTAAGAAAAGGGAAGAGACGGGAAAGGATTCCAGGCGGTAGTCCAGCACTCCAGCCAAGACCTTCCTGGAGAATACAAAGGCGTGAGTCAAAAAGGAAAGCTTCTTCCCAGGCAGACTGTGTGCAAAGGGCCAGAGGTACACAGGGGCTGGTACACTTCAAAGGCCAGCAGGTCAGCTGAGTTACAGCACACATGCTCCAGTAGTCAAGGAATGCCAGAGATGAAGCCTTATTAGAGCAAATGAACAAGCAAACAACCCAGAAGTTAGAAGAGGACTGGCCTGCTCCCCAGCCAGACAAATTATGAAACCTCCCAGAACTTAATTACCTTGGCAATCAAAATAAAACAAAGACTACAGTCACTATTATTTTCAATGTAATGTGGTAAAACTTGGGAAAAAGGATAAAATCCTAAGAGGAATCATTAGCAACCTGAAAAGCTGACATAACAGCCATTCTACCATCAGGATACAGCACCTACCTTGAGGGCTTAGGCAGAGCTCTTGGCCATCTGAGGGTGTTAATAATAAGAGTTCCCAGTGCTACTCTAGCCATGCATTGCACTAACCACTTTGCATTGTTTCACTAGCTAATTCATGGTATTCCTAAAAGGTAGAAACTGGGCTGAAGGGATGGCTCAGTGGTTAAGAGCGCTAGCTATTCTTGCAGAAGACCTGAGTTCAAATCCCAGCACCTGCACAATGGCTAACAATCGTTCACAATCATCCACAATCGTCCATAACTCTAGTTTCAGGGGATCTGATGCCCCTATCTGACCTCCATGAAAATGCACGACATGGGTGTACCTACATGCAAGCATTACACTCATACACATTAAATGAAAATAACAAAATATTTTTTGAAAATAGAAACTATTTTTAGCATGTGGTAGTTTTTTTTTTAATCTATAGTTCTACATCTGAATGGACGAGTCAAACACCTTCTAAGGAATCTCTTAATTGTAGGCTATCTGATTTTATGATATTAAAATAAGACCTGAAATTAAAAAGTATCACTTGTTTTGTACATTATCAAAGAAGCAAGCAGTATCATTTCAGCATAAAACATAATTCACATGAAATATGAAATTCATGAAAATATTAAACATATACTAATCAATGCTGCTCATAGAAAATTAACTGTAAGGGACTGGAACAATGTCTCAGAGGTTAAGAGCACTGGCTGCTCTTGCAGAGGACCCGGGTTCAGTTCTCAGCACCTACATGGTGGCTAACAACTGTCTGTAATTCTAGTTCCAGGGAATCCAATTCCCTCTTCTGACCTCTGGGTGCACTTACACACATGCAGGCAATACACTCATACATGTAAAATAAATTAATAAAATATTTTTTAAAAAAAAGAACTGTAAAGATCATTCTAGGAAGGAAAATAAGGCAGGTATTATGAAGAGAAATTTAGATCAAAGCAACTCTAGACTGTTGTCAAGTTCTTACCCCAACATCCTCAAAAGCTATGCTCAATTTCCCCATCTCTGACTTGTGGATAATAACAATATCCTTATAACATTACTGAAAAGTTAAAGGTGCCTGGCACAGTATGGAATAAATATTAACTATTATAATCTCCATCTTTATATACCTGCTGAAAAACATCTTCTTTGGGGTCATGTTTGGTCCCTGAATGGAGGGTGTTCACATGGGCCCCCTCACTGTCACTAGTGACAGATGACCGGCACTCTGGGCCATGCAGCAGGTCATCCCATAACATATCCTCAGTCTCTGAATCATGGCGGGTGCTTTCTGAGTCCCTCCTCGACAAGTTAAGGCTCTGAGAGCCACCAGTCACACCAGACCTGGAGCCCTTTAAACAAACAAAAACAAAACAAAAATTTTAAAACAATTATATATGAAACACAATTAAAACAAGTTATCTACAGCAATAGCTGGCAAGATTTCATAAATTGATCACCACATATTTGTTAATTCACAAGGCTTCATATAATGAATATAATAATAAATCTTAATATCTAAATGTCCCTAGGGTCCAATGACCCTAGCAAGCTGATCTTTAAAAAGACTCCCTCTATGAGTCCTGCCAAGTCATGAAACTTCTCAACTCTGGTCTGTTGCATGGTGTGATTTCTGAAGCACACCCCAAAAACTGGTCCAGCTGGCTTCGCCAAACCTTTTGAGAGCTTTGAGCTTAACAAAAGAGCTAGTTATGTCCAGGGCCCCACTTCAACATGTTCAAGGACAACCAGGCAGAAGCATAGACAGCACAGTTCCCCAACAGTACCAATATAAATGTGAACCTTTTTCCATAACCTTAATTGCCTTATCAATCTAAACAGAGCAAAAACCAATACACCATCATCTACTCTGCTCACCTCTGACAATCATGCTCCAAATATGCCCATTCCTCTTCACAGTCATACGCTTTCCTGTTCCTATCTTCCAAGAGGTCCCTCTGCCAAAGTCTGTCTTCAAGAGTGTCAACCCCATTTAGAATAAAACTCCATATGCCAAATGAGTATTAAGCAACCTCCTCACTTAAGAATTGAGTAATGGGGCTGGAAAGATGGCTCAGCAATTAACAGCACTGGCTACTCTTGTAGAGGACCCAGAGTTTGGTTCCCAGCACTTATAAGGCAGCTAACAACCATCAGTAACTCCAGTATAGGGAATCCAATGCCTTCTTCTAGTCTCTGCAGGCACTATACACACATGATGCACTTACATACATGCAGGCAAAACACATAATAAAAATAAATAGAATAATAAAAGAATTGAATAACCATCTTCATGCATGTATGTGCATATGTGGGGGTGTAGGCCAGAGGACAACCTTGGGTGTCATTCCTCAGGTATCATCCACCTTGTTTTTTTTCAAACAGGGTCATTCGTTGGTATAAGGCTCACCAAGTAGGCTAGGTTAGCTGACTAGAGAACCCTAGGGAATCTGCCTGTCTCTGCCTCCCCAATGCTGACATTACAAGCATGAGCCACCATGCCCAGCTTTTTTATTTTAATGTGGCTTCTGGGGATCAAATTCAAGACCTCATGCTTTTGAGGCAAGCACTTTACCAACTGAGTGATTACAATGTCTAAAGTAATGTTCTTTCTAAGCATCATCTATGATACTTTGAACATTAGAAAAAAATTTCATTATTTTTCTAGGGGTGAACAGTCATCTCAAATTGGGCTGCTAAATAACTAAAGGCAGGGAAAGAAGTAGGCAACTAAATACAACTTTCAAGACTCAAAAGAAAGAGAAATAGATAAAGTTATTACACTCAAGAAGACACCTTGAATTTTGCTCTCATGAAAGTATGCTTTACCTGACTGAAGGCCGCCGATTCAAATTCTGATTCAGCTAGACTATCTGAATCCCGTACTATATGACACCACCTTGTAGTGGTTTTCTTTACCTGCCAAAAATCAAACCAACAAACATCAAGAAAGTATGCTAAATATCTTGTTACTAGTCAGTGATTTTGGAGATAACTCCCATGCTTTTCTAGGCAGCAGTAAAAATTACCTGAGAGTTTAGGTGTCTTGAAAGTATTGATTTTCTATTCTTAACTTCACAACCATTGTCACTTGAAGCCCCTTCCACACTCCTACGCAGCAATATCATCTGTGTCCGTGCTTCACCATCCTCTTCACTTGACAGATCATCTGAAATTCCATTACCCAATTGCCTATAAGCCTCCTAAAAGGAAACAGCAATATCTCACAGGATAGCACAAAACACTCCAGGAGCTGCCCATGTAAAATCATATAAAAGTACCAAGAAATGAAACTAAATCAAAATTGAATTTACATACTACGTGATATCAATATTAAGAACAATTTCAAAAATAAGAAAAGTGTGCCCTTGCAACTAAAGAGCCTAAATACTTCAGCAGTATGACCTGTAGTTAAATCATGGTCTCAAGGCCAACCTCTATGCCTGAATCATGGCTCTTTTACTTACTAGCTATGCAGCCTTGGGCAATTTACTAAATCTCTTTGGGGCTCAGTTCCTCATCCAAAAAATAATGATAATAAAAGCACCTGTTCCAGTGGGGCATGGTGGCACACGCTTTTAGTCACAGCACTCAGGAGGCAGAGGCAGGTGGATCTCTGTGAGATCAAAGCCAGCCTGGTCTACATAGCTTCTCCAGGCCAGCTGGGGTATAGGATGGCCCTGTCCTTTTTTAAAAAAAAAAATCACCTACCTTATAGGGTTGTAAACAAGGAAAACGGTTTGTATCTATAAGGCACTTAAAACAATAGTTGCCTGTAATGATAGCTTATTAATGGTAGAATAGTGGGAGGGTAGAATTTGGGCAGGGGGACTATCACTAAGGATATTTGAAAAGCTATATGAAAACCCACTATCTGAGCTTAAATGGAGCTACCCTATATGGCATTATCCTTAATGCTCCTCACAGAAGTCATAGGTTCAAACAAAAAGCCCAGTGTAGTGCTAGGTATGACATAGTTCCCTTCTAGTTGTTGGTCAAGAGGGTTCCAGAGACCCCAAAACAATAAAGCCTATTGCCATTGCTCTTGGTTGCCCAACAGAACTTTATGGTAAGATGTTATTGCTGAAGACACCATGTACCTTGGTCCCAGGACATGAGGAAATAAAGCTAGTAATGATCTGAAGCTTCTATTGGCTAGCTTTCATAGTACCAGAAGGTACTATGTAGGCTGCTGGAAGAGAAAAGTCATCAACAGTCTAATCAGTTGTGAGTCTTGCAAGAAGTGCTCATTGGTATAATAGTAGCATGAATGTTTTGGGGATAACCAACCACTTTCTATTTGGATCTAAGGCCCACTCCACAAGAGGAAATTCTTGTCTGGTATTATAAACCTGTGGTCAAAAACGAGTCAGAGGAGAAGAGCCACTACTATTATTTTACTAGATGGACATAGTATAAACCTGCCTTCTAAATACTTATCTTTATACTCTAGTGCAGCTCTCCATCCTCATCAGAGAAGCTTCTTTTTCCAGTAGACAGCAGCTATACAGAAACTCACAACTGGTCAAAATGCACAGAGTAAGTGTCTGTGGTGTGCTCAGCCATAAATGGAACATTTATATCACACCCTTCCCCTCAAGGCTCAAGGAACATCATAGAAGAGGTGGGTAGAAAGACTGCAAGAGCCAGAGTTTGGGAGGAGTGCTACAAAACCATACGTTCTGGACATGACAGGACCACTGCTCTGATGAACTCATAGCATCTGTGGTTGCCTGCACAAGATCAAGCCAATCAACATCCCAGCATGGATGGAGGAGGGCTCATGAGGCCTGACCCCTAGCTGAGGAGGAATTAGCAGTTGATGGCTGTTGGAAGAGGGAGTCAGTTTTCTTCAGGGGTGTGATCCTTATTGCCCATGCTCCAGTGGATGGCCCCATACCTATGTGGTATAGACAGCACTAACTGTACTCAGTGGGGAGGGAAGGAAGAAAGAAAAGAGGGGAGGGAGGGAGGGAGGGAGGGAAGGTGGGAGGGAAGGATGATGAAAGAAATGGGACGTAAAGATAGGAGGGGAATGTGGGCAAGAGGAGGGAAAAAGGGTTGGGGGGGTAGATATAATCAAAACACATTACATACATATAAGAAATTCTCAAAGAATAAATTATGTTTATAAAATTATTATAGCAAAGCATCTAGGAATAATCCTTAAAAATAAATATTAAATGCTTCAAAGAAAAATTTCAAAACTCCAAAACCAAAATGTACAGTTTTAGACACAAAACTGCCCCCACTACCCTAGAAAAGTTTCCCAAGCCCTTCCTAAACCCATCACTCCATGTATAAAATAGCACAGTCCCCTCTACACTTTGAAGTCTGTCTAGTAGCAGCATTAGTAAATTTTAGTTCTTGAAATGCAAATAAACTCCAGTCTGCTTGTAATACTTTTTTTTCACAACTGGTGGCTTTATTTACCTTTTGCTGACAAGCTTACAAACCTACAGGTATCCGATTTGTCTCGCTACACAGGCTGAGAACAGGAAAATTTTCCATAGGATAAAGGGATCCTGTTACACCCATCTAGACCTTACCCTACGGCACTTTTCTCCATCAGAAACCTTCGCTTTCTCTCTAGCTTGCCACATTCTGATCTCTGGTCGACTCTGTCTCTTCTTTATGATAGGATGGAGATGGCCCAAGTCATTGTCAGTTTCAGTCCCTTTGTTAGATATTAATTTCACCCTTTTAACCCTATTTTAAGAAAAAGGAAAAAAAGTTACTAATTACTTTTCTGAGAGTAATATTTTTCATGAAATCACTTTCTTCTTAAGGAGTATAATATATCACCCTAGACATCAAGAAAATTCAGAAATTCTGTTTTTCAGGCCTCTAGCCTGCAAAAGGCATAGAAGGGGAGAACACTCACTGAGACTCATGAGGATGAACCTCTTCATGTCCAGAAGCACACACACTTCAGTGTTGAGAAGCAGCAGTTACATTGCCCTTTCTACTTACCACTCCAAGGCAATGCCAGCTCCTGCTTCATACTGCCTGTCAATGCCACTTCACAGAATGCCTGCTTCTCTCCTGTTTGTCCTCTTAACACTACCCATGCTTCAGAACCCAGACAACCTAACTCCACCACAATGATCATTCCATCTGCTAAGCTACATGTCTGCATGCACTCATTCATAACGCTTTTACATTGCTGTGACTGCACCATACTCACTACTCCCCTCTTCCTGACTAGCCAGGATAATCACCAAGGACAGGGACAGCACAATATCCAACAAAACTCCAAACACTTCGCCATGGGAAACAAGCATATCTTTAGGAAAATGTGTGAACATACTTCACCTTCAAAAAAGAGCTTTGTTTTTTAATTCCCCATCCTTAAGATAGGAAAAAAACAAACATCTGAGTCACCACACTAGTACTGTCATGACCTGTACAATTACAAATGAGGTCAGATTTGTCTTTGATCCATTTTGTCTTTCTAACCTACGGCCCATCAACACCAGGCTCCTCAAGAGGTCTCTTTCAGTGAGAGAGCAAATGCCCCATCTTTTTCAAATTCTCCTTTCTCTCAAGATGTTGGCTGATAAGCTATAAGATATTTATTTTTTCAAAGGGTTTATATTTTTCTAATTGTGGAATCTAAACTGTCCTTAAAATCAATGCAATGAGACTTTGTTGGTAGATTACTGGATTTATAAGGAACATGAAAGAGGGTGGAAATAATAACATTTTGAATAAGCAAATCTTTCTAGAACCCTTAAAATAATCCACAGAGCTTACACTACCCACAATGACCTGACCATGTTATACACCATGCAAACCCAAAGGTGAACACAAAACCAAGTAAAATTCCAATATAAAACTCCTACCTGGTGCCAAAGAGAGTCCCCCAAAAACCACCAACATTGGGTGCAGATTCCAGAGTTTCTACCCCTCTGACTTTATCAGAGGAGTTATTTCCATTGTCTCGGCTCCCATCACCATTTACAGTTTTTCGTAATTTTCTAAAAAACATATTTCAATAATTTCAGATTATTCAAGAGCTTTTCTATTTATGCCCATAATATCCCTTCAGAAAATCATGCTATCAGACCATTCTCTGAAATCAAAGAGGGTTAACTTCATATACTGAGGATAAATTACTATAGGGCATTTCTGATTTAAGGACAAAAGCAGATTCCAGACTAAAGTCCTATGCTTTCATTGATCAGTCATTAAGAAATGGAGCTGCTATCCAGAAACATTACCAGTAATTGCCTAGGGAAACATTCTGAGGAAAGAGAATATAACTTCTGGAAGTTAATACATATAGCTAAGAAAATCTCAACAGTCCCCAAACCCACATATACCACACAATTGATAGATAGCTGATAGGAATTTCATATGTAAAAAAGTCAAATTGATCCTCACTTAAAATTTATATCACTGAGAAATCAATTATATACATTTTGTTTGGGATTGGGTTTGGGTTTAGGTTTTTGTTTTATTTTTGAGACAGAGTCTTACTATGTAGCTCAGGTTGGCCTAGAGCTCACAATTTAGACCAGACTGGTTCTCAATCCTTGAGGCAATCCTCCTACCTTACATGTGCTAGTATTACGGGCATGTGCTGCCAGGCTAGGCTTCAATTATACAATTTTGAAAAATGTTGAAAATTTTGATAGCACTAACCCAATGCCCTAAAATCCTCCTTGTGAGTAAATTTTTAAGTCAAATTTTAAAGAGAATGTTTCACTCCCTTTTCCTTCCTCACTCCCCTCCTCCTCTCTCTTTTAGGGAGATACTGCAGGTGAACCCAAGGCTTCAAACATGCTCATACTGGGCAAATGCTCTCCAAATATGGACTCCCACCATAGAATGTTTTTTCAAAACCATTACTGAAAATAAATGGTAACAAAAAATAATACAGCAATTTTCCACTCAAACACTGTAATGCATGAAAATGGCCACATGAGATTAAAAGTCAGTAAGGGTTCTAAGTATCAGGAGAAAAGTGAAAAAGTATTCATTTTTAAGTTAATATATAATAGAAAATATAAGTGAATCAAAGATTTTTGTAATTCTTGGAGAAATCTCCAAGAATACAGAAAACTCCAGTCTAACTTTCAGTCTTACCTTCTTCTCCGATTTCCATTGTTTCCTGATGGTCTTGTCATCTGAGTAGACACAATTTGACAGTGGACAGTTCCCATGAGTAGCATAAGGCACAAGGGTCCAAGCACTTCACTCACATTCACAATAGGCATCATAAGATATAATACGACCGCTGTAACTGCAGAGAATTGAAAATGGAAAACACTAGCACTCCCTAGAAGATGCATTCTGTAACTATACACATTGTTTCCACAATCTGTCCATTTTAAAAGAACTAATAAAAGAAAGTAATTTCCGGGCCAGGCATGGTGGCGCATGCCTTTAATCCCAGCACTTGGGAGGCAGAGGCAGGTGGATCTCTGTGAGTTCAAGGCCAGCCTGGTCCACATAGTGAGTTCCAGGTCAGCTGGGGCTACAGGGAGACCCTGTCACAAAAAGACGAAAAAAATTTAGAAAGAAAGAAAGAAAGAAAGAAAGAAAGAAAGAAAGAAAGAAGGAAGGAAGGAAGGAAGGAAGGAAGGAAGGAAGGAAGGAAAGCTTGAGCTAAAGGAAGGAAGGAAGGAAGGAAAGAAAGAAAGAAAGAAAGAAAGAAAGAAAGAAAGAAAGAAAGAAAGAAAGAAAAATTAATTTCCTTTCCTAGAATATCAGAAACTTGCACTTGGATTGGAAGTATTTTGCAAACTGGCAGATGACAATCTAGACATTCCCAAGGGGCTGCACCACAGAACAACCAGATGCCACATACAGCAGTCTTGTTTTGTTTTTAAGATTTATTTTTATTTTTACTTGTGGACACGCATGCGTGTGTGTGTGTGTGTGTGTGTGCGTGCGTGCGTGCGTGTGTGTGTGTGTGCCATGTGTGTGAAGATAATCAGAAACCAGAAGAGGCCCCAGGAGCTCGAGTTACAGGCAGTTGTGAGCCACCCAATAAAGGTGGCGAAACCAAATTCAGTTCCTCTGAAGAGCAACAAGTGCTCTTAACCACTGAGCCATCTTCTCAGCCCCCAAAGCAGAGTTTTGAAGTACTGCTCTATTCAAAGGAAGAGTACAAAGGCAAAGTTACATGGAAATGAAAGGCAACTCAGGAAGCTAGGATTTGAACCCAGGAATTAACCACCATGCTGGACTGCCTCTTTTCATTATGTAATGAAATTTTCAAAGAAATAAATGATGAAACAATGGGGTAATAGCAAAATTATATCCAAAACTTTCCAACAACAGACAATTTTATAGACAGAGTTTTCTATTATATAAACTGTTCCTGTGTGGATAAAAAGTTAGCACTCACCCAATAGATCAAGATCCCTGTTGAGTGAATTTTCAACAAATTTTGATCAAGGTTGAATTCCAAAGACTTGAAAAAAAGCCCCACATGATAATGGCAGGGTATTTATGAACTACAGCACTTTTTGACTTGTGAATGCAGGTATTAAAATTCATCACTAAAAAGCAAGCACTATTCATATACAAAATGGAAATTTATGCCGGCACAAAGACATCACAACATTTTCAGGAAAATGGACACAACTAGAAATCACTAGACTAAGCAAAATAAGCCAGACTCAGAAAGACAAATACTACATGTTTTCTCTCATATGTAGAAGATAAATTTAAATTTTTAGGGGGCTGGAGAGATGGCTCAGCAGTTAAGAGCACTGGCTACTCTTGCAAAAGACCCAGGTTCGATTCACAGCACCCATATGGTGGCTAAGAACCGTCCATTAGCTCCAGTCCCAGGGGATTCGACACCTTCTTCTGATCTTCATAGGCACTGCACAACATGGGTGCACTTAAATACATGAAGGCAATACATTCATACACATAAAATAAAAATAAAATTTTAAAAATATATATGTGTGTATGTTTATCTATATGTGTCTATTAAGTCATGAAACGAGAATGCTTATATATCATGAAGGGAAACAGATTTTTTAAAAAATAATATATTGAGAATTTCATACAGGCATATAAGCATATAAGGTGTTTTAATCAAATCCATGCCCACTCCTTCCCCTCCAACTCCTCCCATATCTCTCCATCACTTTTTTTCTGTTAACTTCATGTACTCTTTTTTTTTTTTTAATGGGGCTTTTTGCTACCCTAACACTCCCCCTCTGAAGAGGTAATCCTAAAATCTTTTTAGGATTAGATAAGAGCTCCCCAATACTTTTGACATTTTTGGCCTTTGGAACAGAGTATGTTGCTAACAGTCCCAAGGACATTTTGACTTTTAGCCAAGAAACTGGATACATTTCTTTACCCTACATTATCCTAACGGCCTACATTCCCCTGCCTAGCCAATTCCTATCTCCTATTCTTATCACACCATCCTCTGAAGAGGTTACCCAAATTGCAATAGGGAATCACACTCTGGCTTCTTCCATGCTGAACAGGGACACAGGGGGCGGCAATTGGGGTACCCCTTCAGTGGGTCTATCTAAAACATTCCCAAATTGCATAACTCTTATCTGTAGGGGGAAAAGAAAGTCCTTGACTAGTGAACAGGAGATGTGAAGAAGTAAAAGCAAGAGTAATTAGCATTACAAATTCTAGATGGAACTAGAAAAAAGTCAGAACAGGGAAAATTTCAAATATTCATATGAGAGTCCATTGGAATTTCTTGATGAGAGCTTCCAAAAGCATTCCTCTATTGGGTTCCTCCTCATTTTTCTTTCGTCTGCCAAGGCTGGACTCGAGAATGATGGATTCAGGATTTGCTTTCAGGCACTTTGATAGCTGTTGGAGTGGTTAGAATCAGGGTCAATTCCCTCTCAGAGACTTCACCACGTGGAGGCAGGATCCAGGTGCTCTCAGGCAGTCCCCTGAGATCCCAGCCACTACACAGATGGAGGTCGGAACCCACCCTCTCAGGCTGTCTGCTAAGATCTCAGCCTTATCCTTGGGAAAGAGATTTTAAGGGAGGTGGGAAATAGGGTAATGAAGGACATGTAATAGGAAAACAGAAAGGGGACTAACTGCGGGGAGAAAGAAAGCCAACTGGAGGAAGGAAGGGGCATGGGAAAAAAGGTAAAGGGGACAGCAACAGGGATGAAGGGGACAGCAATAGGTAAGGGAAATAAACGAGACAAAGAACAGTGACACATATATGTAGATGACATGATGAAACTCATTACTACTTTGTATGTTAATATAAAAAACAATTTTTTTTTGGTCTTTTTGAGACAGGGTCTCTCTTGTAGCCCCAGCTGGCCTGGAACTCACTATGTAGACCAGGCTGGCCTAGAACTCACAGAGATCCACCTGCCTCTGCTGGGATTAAAGGCCAGCAATATAAAAATATTTTTAAGGTTAAAAAATTTGGGCTGGTAGAGAAATGGCTCAGTGGGTAAAGCACTTGTTTCACAAATATAAGGACCTCAGTTTGGACACCAGAACGCATGAAATCCCAGTGTTCCCTAAGGCAAGATGGGAGGTAGAGACAGGAAAACCCCCAGAAGCTCACAGGCCAGCTAGTGGATGCAGCAGTGAGCTACAAAGAGATCCTGTCACAAAATGAGGTGGAAGGTAAAGTCCAACACCTGAGGTTGTCCTCTTGCCTTCACAAATACACCATGGCCAATGTGCCAACACACTAACACAGGAATGTACGCACATACAATCATACACACAAAGTTAAATATTTTAGTTTTGAAAATCTTCAAAAAGCGTGGTGGCACACACCTTTAATCCCAGCACTTGGGAGGCAGAGACAGGTGGATCTCTGTGAGTTCGAGGCCGGCCTGGTCTACATAGTGAGTTCCAGGCCAGCTGGGGCTAAAGGGGTTGTTGTCTACTTTGTTGTCTGATATGCATGCCTAGATCAATACCTGGCACACAGGATGCACTCAGCATGTTAGCGTGAATGACAGAACTACAGCAATATCAAAGGAAATTTGACCAAACAGGAAAACTGAACTTACAAAAAACATGGGTTTTATACTAGAAATGCAAGGATAGTTTAAAAGCAGGCTCTGCCCTCATGAGATTAGTGTCCTTATGAAAGATGCTGCAAGACAGCTCACTTGCCCCTGGGCCATATGCGTTCAGAGCAAAAGAGACTTGCTCTATAAAGCAGGTCCTTACCAGATGCTGAATGGGTGCTGCCTTCCTTGACTCTGGATGACCCAGTCCCCAGAACTGTCAGAATAAGTTTCTGTTATTTATAAGCCACAAAGGCCATTTTTGTTATTGCAGCACAAATGGACTCAGAAAGACAATGTGCTGAAAAATGGGGATTCTGCTTGTTGTAGTTTGCTTTCTCCTGCAGTGATAAACACCAGGACCAAAAGCAACTTGGGGAGGGAAGAGTTTATTTGGCTTACAGGTTACAGGCAAGAACTCAGGAGAGGAACCTAGAAGCAGGAACTGAAGCAGAGAAATGCTGCTTGCTGGCTTCCTTCCCTATTTTGCTCAGTTACCCTCCTCATACAACCAGGCCCACCTGCATTAGGATGGCTGGGCCCTCTTACATCAATTAGCAGTTTAAAAAAAAATGCCTCAGGCTCACAGGCCAGTATGATGGAGAAAATTCCTCAGTTAAGATTAAGATTCCCTCTTCCAGGTGACTCTAGTTTGTGTCAAGTTGACAGACACGACCAAGTACTCTGCTATAACAAGTACCTAAAAATGTGAAGACACTTCAGAACTGAGTGATAAATGAGCAGATGCTACAAGAGATAGGCACAGGCTTGACAAGCCTAGATCTCTATTAGCAGATTTTTAAAGAAGATTGTGATGAGATATCATTAACAAAAGAGAAAACCTTTAGAGAAAATCCCAATTTTCTTACAGAATACCTAATTAGCCAGTGGAATGTTAGTAGAAATAAGGAGTAAAGGCCATTGTAGTCAAGTCTCAGAGAGAAATGAGAAATAACATGATAAGCCAGATGTTGTGACACACACCTGCACCCCCAGCACTTGGGAGGTGGAGGCAGGAGAATCTGAGGTTCAAGAACAGCCTCAGCAACTTCAAGACAAACTTGAACTATAGGAGAACCTGTTTCAAAAAAAACAATTTTTTTTTTTTAATGGAACTAGGGAAATGGCTCAGTCAGTAAAGTGCTTGCCACCACACTTGAGAACCTGAGTTAGGACTGCCAGCACACATATCAAAAAGTCAGGCATGGTGGCATGTGCCTATAATCTTAGAGCTAGGGAAGTGGACAGGAGAGGATCA